AAATAAACCCACTTCATCCTCAGAACTGGCTGGGGTCATGCTACAATGTTGTCTAATTGTCTTTTTTCTTTTTAATCCTCGATCTTGTACTGGAGAATCTGTTGACTGTCTGAAATGGCTTGGTCAAGGCTTCTTGTATGTTTACGGGCATCACTTTCTTTCGGTTAGAGAAGTTTTCTTCTATGGTTTTGTTGAAGATGTTTCCCGGCCCTTTGCATTGTGAATCTTCTCTCTCTTCTATTCCTATTATTCTTAGGTTTGGTCTTTTCATTGTGTCCTGAATTTCCTGGATGTTTTGGGTTAGGAGCTTTTTAAACTTTGTATTTTCTTTCACTGTTATGCCAATATCTTCTGTGATATCTGCCAATCCTGAGATCCTATCTTTTGTATTCTGTTGGTGATGCTTGCCCCTGTAACTTCTGATATCTTTCCTAGGTTTTCTATCTTCAGGGTTACCTCATATGTGATTTTCTTATTCTTTCTATTTCCATTTATAGATCCTGAACTGTTTCTTTTTTCAATTTCTTCACCTGTTGATTGTGTTTCCCTGTACTTCTTTAAGTGATTTATGTGTTTCCTTTTTAAGAATCTCTATTGTTTTACTTGTGTTCTTCTGTATTTATTTAAGGTAGTTATTTATGCCCTTCTTAAAGCCCTCTATCATCTTTAAGAGATCTGATTTTAGGTCAGAATCTTGCATTTCAGGTATGCATTAGGGTATCCCAGGCTTGCTGTAGTGGGAGAACTGGCTTCTGATGGTACTAAGTAGCATTGTTTTTGTTGCTTATGTTCTTCTGCTTGTCTCTTATCATCCGGTTATTCTGATGTTAACTGGCCTTGCTGTCTCTGACTGGAGCCTATCCCTCATTGTAGGCAGGTGGAGCTCTCTAAGCTGTGAATCTGGTTATGACATACCTCCTGGAAGTCAGGCAATCTATGAGTGGAGGACAGGGGTGGGATTAATTTGTCTGATCTGCCCCCAGGTAGAGTTGCAGACTGGAAGAAAGATGTGTCTCCAGCAGGGCGGATAGATTTCCTGTCTGCTGGACGACTCTATGGGACCCCAGTTAGGCCAGGTATAGACGCAAGGGGGTCTCACCTGTGAGCCTAGCTATGACAGACTTCCTGGGAGTCAGGCTGTCTCTTGGTGTATGGGAGGAGGTGGAGCACCGAATCTCAGATATTTCCTTTTTAAGTTAAATAATATGTCATCTCAGGCCAGAAGTCTTCTCATATATCTTATTTTATGACATGTCCTGAATCCATTATTTTCCTTTTGGACATTAGAACAAAACTAAAATTTTGATGCTGTTTAAATCATTATGGTTCTATGAACAGTAGATATAGACATATCATGTGTATGTTTATAATATAGCTATGGTGTGTAATAAGCTAAATAATCTGTTATTTAAAAGTATTCTATATCACACTGCCACAGTCCCACGGGGCATTGAACTGGGATCAGAAGACCTGGAAGAGAGAACTGGAGGACAGGGGACACAAAGAACGAGCGGTTTGTCTATAGTCTGATCAAACCGCTGATTTTAATTTTTTTCACACAGGGGTTATATACACAGAGGCAGGATGTGGGGAAGGGGATGATGCAGGAGCGTTGGTGTTCTCAGGGGGAGTACAGATATCTTCCAGAATAGGATATCATCTGGGTGAAGAAGCAGAGAACAGGTCACAATGACTCTGATTATGATTCACATGTTTCTTATCTAAGCTGGTACTTTACACCAAGCCTACCTATCCACAAGGTCTATGACTACTAGTTCTTATCCAGGCTGGTAAATTTCCACCAAGGCTGCCTGTTTACAAGAACTTACAGCTATCTGTTTTAGGGTCAGTGTTTTTCCACAGAGACAAAGACTTTGTGCTAGCAAGCATGTATGGCTGACTTAGGCCTACAGCTGATTATAGGCCTTCAGTATATAAGCAAGGCTGCTCCTGACATCACACAATAACAAACTTATTTTAAAAGCATATTTCTTATGCCCATGTTATTAACCATCATTTGGCTATATATATAAAGTTGTTTGAGCGGGGTGGTTTGGATAAATGTCATCTCCCTCATCATAGTTTTACTATAGTATTGCAAGACACTGCCATAGGAGAAATCAGGTAAAAAATATACAGGATTTAATATCACTATTGCAGCTGTTACTTTATAGCAGTTTCTGCATCTTAATCATTCCTAAACTAATAGATACTTTATAAAGTTACTTCATAGAGGTATGGTGAGGTGGCTCAGTGGCTAAGAACATGTACTTGTTTTGCAAAGGACTCTGATTCAGCAACTATGTGACTCCAATTAAAATGACAACCTTCTGTGACTCCAAATCCAGGGGTCCAATGTCCTCTTCTGGACTGTCAGGCACTAGTATGGTATGTGCACATACCAAGTCTGTATATACTCATAAATAAAAATAAAATATATCTTTTTAAAAGAGTTGTTCTACAGGATAAAAGTAGTTTTGAAATGCTGCATCATGTTCTTTCAGAAAGTTTAAAATGTAATTTATTTAGGGTGCATGTGTGTGTATCCACAGTATTACATAATAACATTATATTGGGTACTTAAAAAAATCAAAGGCTAAACTTTGACTATAATTTCCTCCAGAAAGTATCTTCAAATTACTTACACAGGTTGCTACAACTTTGAAAATGTATACACTCATTGAATAACTTCAAATACTGTACAATAAGCAACTTAAAATTATTTGATTATAAATAATCAAGTATATGAATTCTGTATACCAAATACCTGGTTTGAATTAAGTCTTTGTAGTCCACCCACTATAATAACTTAAGATGGATAAATTATTTATACTTCATCTTCGTAACCTAAAATAATGTAAATGACTATACATCTGTGCCAGTTTTTATGGAATTTAGAAGGAAATCCTGGAACATAGTAAGCACTAAAATTTTATTGTAAAATACAATAATTATCAAAAATAAAAAGAATAATTCTGTGTTCTTACCTATTATTAACAATAACATACAACAAAACTATGGTTTTATTATTGTTATGTATTGTAGATAGTGCCATAACATATTATAGTATATTGTAGAGAGCAGACAAACTCATGAGCCATATCAAAGACCTCAATATACCAGACTCATAAGAATGGCAAAGCTTTCCATAATTCAGGCTCAGGGAAATAACAAAGGTTCTCTAGTCCATATGTGAATGTTGATAGTGTGTACATAAAATATCTACCACAACTTCCTTCTCCCACAAATTTACAGACTGAGATCCATGTAGAGATTTCCTACTGAGATTAGCTAAGCCTGCTAAGCAGCCTCCTTGATCAGCTGCATACAGTAAACCCTACTTCTCAGTTCAGATGTATAAAATAAACAGGCTGCTGTGGGTACATGTCCCTCTCAGAGCATAACCCACCTGATGCCAGCTTTTCTGTGGTTCTGTATTTCTTCATTCCCATAGTCAATCCCTAAACCATTCATGTTACGAAGATATGTGTGAAACAGGAACATCTGGAATTCATTTTTATTTTAATGTGAACAAATTCTACTTGAACCACTACTATTAAAGCTGATGCCCTTTAAAGTAGTTAACAGATGTTTTCTGTCTTCTCTTTTATTTATTTTTTTCTTTTCATTTTACTAGCACTCTCTCTCCTACTTTTCATTTTATAGAATTATTTCTCCAGAAAAATAAGTATGAATCAAAACATGTAATAAAGTCTACTGCTACTATATAACACATTTTCTTTTCAAAATACTTTGAAGTTATTCAACATTCATCTAATTTGATAAGTTAGTAAAACGTTGCTGTATTTCATTAAAAGGCTCATTTTTCCTGTACTAGCCACATCCTTTACAGTGGCAAATATTATGTAAAAACTGTCATTTTACTTCCACTACCCAAAGAAGACTTGGTTATGCCTGTCAGACTCCTAGGCAACTCAGCCACTACATATACTACTCCCTGGAGTTGAGTTTTTAATGATATCTCCAGGCTGGTTTTGAATAACTGTATTCTCATACTTCCCGTGGGAGTATATTACATGACATGATTTTAGCAGTGGAGCAGTGTTCCTAAAACTAACTTTTACTGAAAACTTTCTCATACTTCTGCATCTCTTCGGTTGCTCACGTACACTGCACATTTGCTTTCATGAAACTTGTCACTCAGCTCTCTTGTGATCAGCTGCTGCATATTTGGCCAATACTATTTTTTATAAAGTAATTTATAGTAACAGCTACTCAAGAAGTGAGTTAAGCCTGAGCAGATAATACTCAGATTATAGACAACTGGACAAATATAGGACTTGTTAGTATCTAAGTGAATACTTACAAAGGAGACATTTGGATAGTTTTAAAAGAAGAGTGAAGTATAAATATAGCAGAATTTAAAAACTGAGTTGGAAGCATTGCTATGTTATGACTCAGTGGTAGAATGTTTGCCTAGCAAAACAAGGTCCTGGGTTCAGTTCCCAGTAACGGGGTTAATGGGGGATCAACTATACAATAAACTAATCCTTGAAATTACCATTATCCAAAGGCAACTGTTTTCTATCTATAAAAAATTAACATGCTGGTGTGGATGCCAGGAAGTGCATGCTGACAGGAGCCTGATATAGCTGTCTCCTTAGAAGTCTGCCAGAGCCTGACATATACAGAGGTAGATGCTCACAGCTAACCATTGAACTCGTCATGGGGCTCCCAGTGAAGGAGTTAGAGAGAAGACTGAGGGAGCTGAAAGCGTTTGTAGCCCCATGGGGAGACCAATAAACCCAACAAAACAGAGTTCCCAGGGTCTAAACCACCAGCCTGTGAGTGCATAGGGAGGGATCCATTGCTCCAGCAGTATATGTAGGGGAGGATGGTCCTGTTGGGCATAGGTGGGAGAGGAGACCCTTGGTCCCATGAAAGCTGGATGGCCCAGTGTGGGGGAATTCGAGGGCAGGGAGGTTGGAGTGGGTGGGTGAGTGGGGCAAATCCTCATAGAAGCAGGGGGATAGGGGATGAGATGGGGGTTTTTGGGTGGGGGGGAATGGGGAAAGGGGATAGCATCTAAAATGTAAATAAAATATCCAATATATAAAAAAAAAGAATTGACACATGACCTTGGTAAAACTCAGTGCATCCTGAAAGAAAACAAACAAATAAAATTAGAGAAATATAAGAAACAGATTTCCAAGAAAGATGGGGACTACTAGGGGATAATTAGAATAAAATTTAGATGTGTATGAAAATGTCAAACTAAAATAAATAGGACAATAAAAAATAAACAGAAGAGAAACTCATATAACTTAATACCCCAAATATGTATAACAATGTTTCAAATAGACAAAGATTCTAAATAGACATGATTGAAATGAAGACATTCAGATGGTTAGAGATATGTGATAGTGTTCAATGTTTTTAACCAAGGAAACCCAACTCAAAACTGTGGTGACATTTGCACATTATGCCTGTTACATGATATAAAAATGACTGGTATACAGGCACATACCTGTAATCCCAGCACTTGGGAGAATGAGGCAGACATGTAAGACTTCCAAAGCCAAATTGGGCTCTAGAACAAATAAGAGTCAAAAAAAAAAAAAACGATCAAGAAGAAAAGAAAAGGAATAAGACAATATAAAATGTAAGGATGTCGGATAACACTGTGGGGAGGTGACAGAAAGCTTGTAAACTCCCTTCTCATAGTACCTTCCCTTGTTCACGATCACCACTATTTCTTTGTTCCATTTTGCTGACTCAGAGAAATAATGTTTCAACTTGTATTTTTGGTGATGGTCACTATTTGGCATGCTAATTGCCAAATCTAATCTCTTTTACCCATTAATAACTTAGCAGCACTTAATATGAAATTATTCCTTATCTAAAATTCTTTCAGTGCTTATCATCTATGGCACTGGTGCTTATGCAGCCTTCTGACCATGCCCTTTCTGTTCCATTGCCACCCCCTCCCCTGCTTCTTTATTCACTTATTGTTACATGAATTTCAGTTAACTAAAGGAATCCAGATTATGGTCCCATAATATCTACACACTAAGAAACATAGAAGTTCAGAAAGTGGCACTATGTTATGTTTCTATAGAAATATGATGTGAACATGTCCGAAAATGCTAGAGAGGAGATAATGTGAATGAATTTCATTTTCATCACTTTTACAATTATGACATAACTTTTGAAACTCAGGAGACAACAACAAATAATCAATAGTTATATTTAAATGTATTTACAATTACATTTTAAATTCCCAAACTATTGTTTCAAGTTTCCCATAACAAAGTGCACAATACATTCCTAGCTTAGCAGAAAATCATGAGACACACCATCTATTTCTTGGGAGAGCATAATACTAATTCATCTCTTACTGCATCATTCTTTTCATTTCTAAGCACACTTTCACCTAGTGAGTTCTCCACTGCAGAAGTACATCATAGCACCTGATAAGCTCCTGAATTAATCATGTTTTCTTAGTACTCTCATATATTGGGCCTTGTAAACAGAACACACCTATGGGCATTAGTTAACTGAGAGATTTAACTTAAGGAATTATCCTTTATTCTTTATGGTTTAGAGAATTGCTGAAGTTTTTCAGTTTAGGAGTTTAGTATATTTAGATTTAGACATATAATCATTTGCTGCTTAACAGTCAGGCACATTTTGTGAAACATGACATATGACAGCTTAACTGTTAGGTAAAGATAATAGTTTGTTTTTTTCAGAAGTTCAATGATAGATGATTGCTTACCAAGCCCTCTTGGAAGAAACAAGAGACATAATAGACACAAGATATATGCAGCTGTTGCAAACATAAAACCACGTGTTGCTGTAAACTCTGATGATGAGTAGAAGTATACTCTAAAATCTCACGACAGGAAATATACAAACTAGTAACAGTCATTTACTGCCATTACCAAGTATCTTGTATTATAAAGACCTGCTCGTGCTACACTAATGTTGTTGGCAGCATTGCTTGTTTATATTGGCATCACCAACAACACAAGGGCAATCACTGAAATTCAATGCTATCAGTAGAGAAGGGTTTGGCTTTCTTATGATATCATAGGATTACTGTCATATGTGTTGCCTGTCATTCACAGAAATGTCATTATGTGGGTTGCGTTCTAAAAATAGAAGTGGAAAGTATGAAGAGGAAGGTATTAAAAGACATCAAAAGTATAAAGAGAGAGCATAAGAATTTTGTAATGAAATTGTTGGTAAGAAACAGTAAAGATTAAAGCAAGACAGCAAATGTCTCTGTGTTCCTCATATATTAATTTTTATAGATGAGCATCATTTGGAGTAATGACTGGTTGGTTTTTGGTGATAAAATAAATCTTTGCTGCCATCTTGTGGAACAAAATAATTCTTCTATTTCATCTATATAGTTGAGCGTGGTAAGATTTACAGTATATAGTTATCTCTACTTAGATTCTTCATTATTTAAAAGGAAACTTCAAATTATCTCTTGATATTTGAATGTTTGTTGCATTCATGAAAAACGTATCACATTTTCATTTATATGCTTTGGAGTCCAATATATTGCTTCATTAGTTATATTTCTAAACTAATTCCTTTATTTCATTTTGATTTTAATTTTTGGTCCAAATTCAACAGAAAAAATTTTCAGAATGACTGTAAATTTATTTATTGACTTATTTTCATAATGTGTGTATATATATATGTATTTTATATATTACTTTTTAATTATTTAAAATATTAGCTGTTAAAAATTATTTCAGTTTTAATCAAATTTATCATTGATGATACACATAAATGGTAGACAAATTGTCTTGTTGAGATTTAAATAAATGAGCCAAAATTTGCTCAGCATATATTAGGTGCCAGGTCAGTCACTGCAGTAACAACTTAGGAAGTAATATAATAATGCAAAAAATTTTTTACTTTTTACAAGTTACATTTTAGTGAGACATAAAGTACATTTGAATGTCCTCATTGCTTCTTAAAATGTGTTCCTTTCCCATAACAAACTGCACAGTACATTCTTAGTTTAACAGAAAACCATAAGACACACCATCTGTGTCTTAAGAAATTATAATTCAGAATACTTCAAAATCAGAATCAGGAATATAAAATGTAGAAACTAAAAAAATTCATGCATTGATGAAATTTCAGAAAAAATAAAAATATAGAAGTTAATGGTAATATTCAAATTTTGGCTAATTTATGTAAATCTCAACAAGACAAATTATCTAGTATTTATATATATATCATCAGAGGTAAATTTTGATAAAATCTAAAATAATTTTAACAGCTGATGTTTTAAATAATAAAACAGTACTTTTTAGACAATGTGTGCCATTATTGCCTAAGGAAGTCAATCTTATCTGATAATAGCTTAAAATGCTGTCTGCAAATTGTCCCCCTTTCTGTAGAACTTTTAATCCACAAAAAAAAGCTATGATAAATTCAGTTTTGAGGCTTTAATTTTTAAAAAGACACTCTGTAAAAATGAATATTAATTTGTTTTTGTCTGGGTCCTCTCCAAAGGCAAAGTTGAAGACAAACATTGTAAGCAAGGACTGGTGAGATGGCTCAGCGGTTAAGAGCACTGACTGCTCTTCCAGAGGTCCTGAGTTTAATCCCCAGAAACCACATGGTGGCTCACAACCGTCTGTAATGGGATCCGATGCCCTCTTTTGGCACATAGGTATATATTCAGATAGAGCACTCATACATAAAACAACTAAATCTTAAAAAAAAAAAAAGAAGTTGTAAGCAAATAATTCATTTTAAGAAGATACTAAAAAGAAAAGTACAAAACTGGGAAGAAAAAGAAAGGAAAGGCAAGTCTGTTATATATCACTCTGATTGCTGTGGTATGTATTGGAGCTCAATCATAAACCTTCCAGAAGTATTTTATGGCTTACCAAATGAACAAAGATCAGCTTCTACCTATAGTCAGCTTTAGACAGAGAGCATAGTGTGCTTCCCAATCAGTTCTGAACCATAGGCTGGGTGTAAAGGTTTCACCATTTATACTTTTACTCTTGTACTTTCAGGTTTGTGATGGTAAAATTTTTCTAAGTGACTTAGCTGACTGGTTAGATAGTATTTTTTAGGAGTGTTCTATTTACTCTTTAACAATTTCATAATATACACAATGTATCTTGATCCTAACCAACCCTCCCCCACTTCAGGACTCCTCTGTAGCCCCATGCACATCTCCTAATTGTAACCTCCAACACAACAAGTTCATGGATATGGGGCTATACACCAGGAAATGGTGAACCTATCAGTGGCCAATCCCACTTAAGGAGAAATTTAACTCTTCTCCAGTTAACTAATCACCAATAACTTCTCAAGTAGGGGTTGGTTTTGGTGACCCCCCTCCCACATCACCCATAGATTGATAGGCTGGGTCAGCAATGTCAAATTTTGAAGACAATGTTTCACAACATTCCTCTACATCATTCAAATTTTTGATCCCTTCTTCAATATTACCTGAGCCAAGGCTAAGTAAAGGAGTACAGCAAAAAATGAGCCCAGTATGAACTACATGAGATCCTGTGTCCAAAAAAAGAAAAAGCAACTTTATAAAACTTTGAAATCTTAAAGTTTTGTATCAATTCAAATTGTCACATATTCATAGATATACAGCAATTCTAAATGATCTGCCAGGTTTTAGAAAATCACATAAAATGTGTAAAAAGTATGAATCAATGGGCAAAGAATCTATTTAGTCACTTCAATAAAGAAGAAACTTAAAGCAAAATAATTGTGAAAAGCTGTTCAAATGTGAAAAGGTCAGGAAGATATAAATTAAAATCTCAGTATGATATTATTAAATACCAGTAATAATGCTCAAAAATTGCAAGAGCCCCTCTACTTCTTTTTTATACATTCTATGATAAGGTAATCATCATATCAAAAGCATCCCTGTACTTCCATGTTAATTATAGTACTATTCACAATATCCAAGACATAATAATAAATTAATTGTCCACAGACAAATGACTCAATAAATAGCACAGGATTATATACGCAAACACAAAGATACATTATTCAGCCTATGAAAAGAAGGAAATCTTGTCATTCTTAACAACATGAATAAGCCTATGATAATGCTATGCTATGGGGAAAAAAGTCGAAAAATATAAATACTAGAGCTGGAGATGGGTAGTCAACCATTTGCCAAGAATGTAAAAGTTGCCAATATTACACAGGAACAGAAATGACAAATTCTGCACGTTCTAATTTTTAGAGTCTCAACTTTAGTGTTCTAGTCAGTGTGTTCTTTGGTTGTGAAGAGACACCATGGCCAAGGCAACTCTTATAAAAGAAAGCATTGAATTGGGTAATTGATTACATTAACATCCATATAAATTATACACATACTAAAAAAGTTTCTTTCTGGGTAGTAGATAATATTGGCAAGAAGAATGGAGGTGAAAGTGCAATCTAAGTAGAAAACAGTTTATATATTGACTAAAACAAAACAAAGACGTGAAAAAAAAACAAGTTAACAATTGTTTCAATTTCTTAAAACACCAAGAAGATGAACTTCTCTATATACTATCACATTATTTCTTCTTCCATTCTTCTTAAAGTAAGTTTTTAATCACAAAGATTTGTTTGTGGCATATGTTCATGACCCATGTGCACAATGCAGAATATGTTTGGAGGTCAGAAGAAAACTGGAAGGAGTCAAGTCTGTCCTACCATTTGTGTCTCAGGGATCTAATTCTGGTCTTGAGGCTTGGCAGCAAGAATCTTTAGTCACTGAGCCATCTCTGTACCTCTTGATGTTTTGTTTTAACTTCTACAAGTATAAATACTTTGTGTGAATAATGAAGATAACTTTATCAGTTATTTTTAGCAATTCTACAGTCATTGCTGAGTGGCAGAATTGTTCATTTTGTTATCATATTTCTGTAGTTTTCAATTTATGTACTATAAGAAATTATTTTCTGAGTGTCAATTTGTATCAGTAAAAAAAAAGAACTGACACTAAATGGTAAGCCTACTTAAAAGACTCATCTAATAATCCCATTAATGATGTTGTGACACTGATATGCAATGTTGGAACTGGCCCTATTGAAAAAAATTTAGAGTTCTTTATCCACTTATTATTTATGATTAATTTCTATGGTCGATTATAGTAGCTATCCATGGCTAAATTGAAAGTTGATACCACCTTTTAGAGATCAATTGGCAATATATAGTCTTTTTAAAACATAAATATTTAAAAGGCTTATGCCCTTTACACAGTATTAGCTACTTCCAAAGTGGGGGAGGGGAACAATACACAGTAAATTGATTACTGACTTGGGCACAATTAAATTGGCGAGATAGAAGAAAGTGAAAATGACAGAATTCAATATATTCCATCATTCATAACAATGACTATAAATTATATAACAATGATATAAAATGAAAATCTTATTAGCTTAAACAAATATTTTATTCTTGTGTTGTAGTAACACATAAGCTTGATATTTCTAGGCATAAAAAGGATACGGAAAATGAGAATTCTTTTATTATTGCGATAGGAAGGTTGTGAGCAGATCTTCATTAATAAACTTGGGATCATTGGAAAAGTACAAATATTTTCTGACATCAAAACTGTTTACTATTTTAAAAGCATCATATAGAAAGTATATGCTGAGGATAATACTGTTTGCAAGTTGCCTATGTAATAATGTGTCTTGCACACTAAAAAGTTTTAAAGGCGAAGGGAAGATTTAATAGTAGGTTAAGTGATGACTAATGTGAAATTTCAATTTAGAATTGATTAACTCTAGGACTGCACTCAAAACATAATTTTGCTCATTCTAAAGTTCTTTTAAAAACGACTTAACATCAATTTTTGGTAACTGAAGCAGTCCCAGGCTGAAAAACTCTGGACCAAAGAACCGGAAAAGGGGCGGTTCTCATCCCTCATTCACCCGCCTCCAAACGACTGCGGCTGCGCGGCACACGGCACCCGGATTGATTGGGGGGTGGGGGGGCGTGGAGGGGAAGGCGGCGGGGGAGGGGGGGTGAGCACAAAGCGAGCACGATTCGCCGAGTCTTCCGCTTCCGCCTGTGGGTGTCTCATCCGTAACTGTCCGGGTCCACCCCACTGTGCTCACCTGTGGGAGTCCGGCAGAAAATCTCCTATTCACCGCCCGGCTCTGGCCCCTCTTCCCGTCTCTTCTGCGCCTGTGCAACCGGAACGTTCGGGAAAATTCCTGAAGCGGTACCGGCGGCTTCCGGAAGCTAGCTGCAGCCTGTGCAGTGGTGCTGGTGATTGCCGTGGTGATTCACTCCTCGTCCCTGGTGGTGTGGGTTTCGCCTGGAAAACGGAATGGCGCTCCTGTGTTACAACCGAGGCTGTGGCCAGCGTTTCGACCCCGAAGCCAACGCGGACGGTAAGGATCGTGACCAGCAGCCTTCTGCCGGCCTCCCTCTCCCGACCCCTGGCCCCCTTCACCTGGCTTCACCTCATGCTGTCCCCGGGAGCGTCCCTGGTCTCTCACCCTCTCCGGGAGCGTAGAGCCGGGCGCTTCGGTGTCCCCGGTGCCCCTTATTGCTCAGTGGGCATCCCCTGCACTTCCTCAATTCTGGGGCTATTCGTACCCAGTTTACATTTCGTCACCGCCGTAATTCCTGGATGTGAGAGGTATAATTAGAGGTGCTCAGTGGACCATTCCTGTATTAGACTTCTTGTTGCGTTTAAGTACTAGTGAAAAGCGTATTGTCACTTGTCAAATTGCTTGCTTTTTAAATAACCGTGCTGCGGAAATGACTGTTACACATCCGTTCTACAATAACGTTTTCGGCATACTTTTGCTGGGGCTTGCAGCTTTAAACTACGCCATTCCAGCATAAAATGAGCCTCGAGTGGTGTTCCAGAAACCAGTGTGGTCTAATTTAGAATGCACAGTGAAAGCAAGCACCTGTGCTGGGTGAAACCAGAGGTGTGAGTGAATCTCATTAGTGAATGGAATATTTATGCAGATTACTGGGCTTTTGCGGGAATAAACGACATTTGTCTCAGATTCATCTAGTATGGATAGTCTGCATTCATAGTCATATATAATATTCATTATATAACTAATAGACCGGAACACCACATGGTAGTAACACAGTTCAGCTTTGTAAAAGAGGTTAAAACCAATCCCTTAGTTAGTGATCTTGGTACACAAGTAAACTGGTAACTTCTTTCAAAATAAGACGGGATAGGATTTAAAGGGAAAGGTGCAGCTGAGCACATGTTAAACTGTCATGATATGTGCATATTCTACTTCAATATTGAATACATTGATGCCTTGTAGCATGGGGCAGTATTTTTAGGGTACTAGATTCCTGTCTAACGTTCAGGAGAGACAACAGCTGCTTGTTGGAAGTTTTTCTGTCTGTCTGTGTCTTTCTCCTCCCTCCCTCCCTCCCTCCCTCCCTCCCTCCCTCCCTCCCTCCCCTCTCGCTCGCTCGCTCTCTCTGTCTCTCTCAGCTTGTTGGAAGCTTGTCTGTGTGTACGAGAGAGAGAGAGAGAGAGAGAGAGAGAGAGAGAGAGGGAGAGAGAGAGAGAACAAGAAGGTAGAAAAGCCATGAATAAGTAAACAGTCAACAATTTAGTACTGTTAACAGCTTCAGTGTATGATGGGAACTCCAGTCAGCTGGCCAAAGTGTGTTCACTTTTGCAAAGTGGGAAATGTTTTTAGAAAGTAGGGATAAATGCCAGGTAAATTGGTTGAATGAATGGCAGGTGATAACACTGGGTTTAGGAGAAAGCTTTCTAGAATGGGAATCATTTGACTTTAAACATTAAACTACAAATTAAAAGATTAGTGTTGAAGGTACCAATATGTTCTGGAGTACAGTGATAGATGTGTCACTTGTAAGAAGCTGCCAGTCTGTACCCAGTCTTCCTGTTCTTGAGTGGTATGGTGTACTTACCAGGCGTATTGCCTTATTTCATGTCTTTTTAAATTAGTTGCTTTGTTTTCCTGTGTATAAAAATTAGACTTCTTTCAAGATGATAGGAAATTTTAGTTTGTAATTCAAGAAATGTGAGTTGTAATTTGCATGTGTTAAGCAGCTAAAGTAGACAAACTTTTAGAAACAGCACAGCAGTTATGAGTGACAAGTGAAAATTTCAGCTAAACTTGTGTAAAAAAAAAGGCCTTAAAACTTAACTGCTAATGTGTTATCACTTCCCATCAAATACATATGAAACTCAGCAAAACTGTTAAGTGTTATAAATGCGGGAGAAGAAGTGTCCGTCTAATTGTCATTTCCCTTTGAAAACAGTGATTCTTTCATTTCATTCATGCAAGTTACACTGTGAAGAGTTAGCTGTTCCTGACATTCTGGACTGCTTTACACTTGGCTGTGTTTATACATTGTTTACTGTGGTAGTGACTGTACATTAAATTCAGTTTTAATAATTCCTTCTCAACTTCGTATCTTTGTGCATACACATTTTCATTCCGAACTTCTGTCTTCTAACTTTATTGTACATAATTACTAGCCTCTTCTTGTTCCATTGCATTAACTACTATTGTGTATACGTAGCCAGCACTTACTAAGAAGGTAATACTAACCTAGTAACAGGGTAGAGAAATTTCAAGGCAATACCAGGAATTGGATTGTAGGGAATTAAACTTGGAAGGTTGAGTGAAGTAAGTTATTTATTTATAGAGAAATGAAACCTCCTTTCTCTACCCTTATGACATTGTGTTTTCAGGTAATAACTGAGTCTAGTCTGTTATCTGATTGTTTTAAACAAAACACTCCACATTGCTGGCAGTAATAAATGTATTTTGTATAAGAACTAAATAAGTTAAAACTTATGTGGACAGAGACAGGAAATACAAAATGATCAGCAACAGCAATGAAAAAGACTGTAGAAATCTAGGATTTGTATCTAGGAATTGGTTAAGAATACTAATTTAGCAATTAGATATTAGAGCAGTTACTAAAATGCTGAGGTTTTTTTTTTTTTTTCTTTTTTTCCAAATTATCTTTTTAGAGAATTTCTTGGGAAACTTGTATGGATAGGTTTATAAGAAGTATACTTCAGTTTGCTATTTTCCTGAAAAGATACAGTCAAACAGGAGATGGGGAGGAGGGCTGAGATTGTGCTGTTAGTTAGTTTTAAACTAGCACAGTGTGGAAAGGGGGCCATGGTCCCTCATGCTAAGCCGAGGGTCTGCTGGCAGTTGGTGGCTGCTGGAGAAGGAGTTACTTTGCTACAAGGGAATGACTAGCCAGGTGACTGCTCATTCAAGCAGCACTAACTGGAAGTAGTGGACATGAAGTTCAGGAGGATGGAGATGGGTTGGTGGGTGTAGGTGGCATAGCAGGTGAGAGAGTTGGGTATGACTGAGATACCTTATATACATGTATGAGATTTTTAGAGAATGAAAAATACGTACTGCCAGAGTCACTAGTATTTAAAGTTTTATTAGTACTTACTAGTATTTACTTAGTACTTAGTAGTATTTACTACAAAAATGAAAAAATATAGAGCAGTTGTAATAGTAGCAAAATTGCAGTTATGAAGTAGCAGCCAAAATAATTTGATAGTTGGAGGCCACCTCAACATAAAGGTCACAGCATTAGGAAGGGTAAGAACCACTGATACAGAGTATTTCTGAACTTATCCTTAAACAGTTCTGGGTTAGTTTTGTCCATGTCTTATACTCTTAGAGATTTAACTATTTTTAATACAAGGAATTAATAAGTTTTAAGGAGTAATTAGATGCATTTGGAAAAAGGCTGAAACCCTGACGACACCCGAAGGAAGGAGCGATGTGTAAGTTGTTTCTATAAGGAGCTGTGTAATTCCCTTCTCTGTTTTTGAACAGATGCTTGCACATACCACCCAGGTGTTCCTGTCTTTCATGATGCCCTAAAGGTAGGAAGAAGATACCTTTTCAGTTTTTTTGTATTTCCATAATAAACTTAAAGATGTAATAAAACTTTTTTTTTCTCCCAGCTTGTTAGTTTTTCTTAATGACCATTTTGGGGTACTTTAAGGAGATTGTCTAAAGACAAAGAGTCGACAGAGATATTTTCCAATTATAAAGTTATTTTATTTACATTCCAACCCACTTTCCTAATGATTTATTCCCTTCCTAAGTTTGAAGTTGAATAAAAGCAGGCATATTGGTCTCAGTCTTTATTCTGTCACTGTGACTAACAAAGGCCTCCTCTGGGTGTTAGGAGTGGTTATGCACATTTAGTTGGAGTAGTTTACTGGAAATATGATACCATATTTTCTCCTTTATTTCCTTAGCAAGCTGAAGAATCAGAGAAATGATAGAATGGTTTTTCTTATTTGTGAAGTTTTTTGTTTTTCTGACCAAATGTTCAATGTTACCTTTCAAAAAACTTTATGATTAATACGAGATATGTACATTCTCAGTGACTTACACATTTTTTAAAACACGATAAATTTGTGAACATCAAGTTACACTGTCTTTCCTTGAATATTAACATAAACAGAACTTGTTCTCCGAATATTCACCTTATGATATCAAAATATGTTTGTTGTTAATATAAATTTAACTAGTCATTTGGTTAAACATGAAACTAGCAAGCTGTATAATGCTTGTATTACCTGAAATTTACCGGGTCATGGAATCCAGTGGCTTGGAATGCCGAGGTTTGCAGTACATATTTATGGAATACAGACAAACAAAAAGACTCTGAAGAATTATTGTCAGTGACAGTACTTGCCCTCTGAGCAAGAGGACGACCTAAATTTAATTCCCTAGAACCTACATAAATACCAACAAGGAAGAGAAAAGGGGAAACTTGGGTTTCTCTGCAAAGCCATTCTAGATGAACTATCAAGTTCTAGGTTCTGAGAGACCTTGGCTCAAAATGTTAGGTGGAAAGAAATAAGAAGATACACACCTGAACACACAGTGAGCTGACTAAATAAAATCTAATACAACTGCAAAAATGAGGGTAATAAAGATACTTCAGTTTAGGAGTGGAATGGTTTGATATTGTGTGTAGGACACATACATTCAAATATGTCCTAAGAATCACTAGACTGTATAGGTGACAACTTGAGGATACAAACTAATGGACTTGCAAAAATGGAGAAGATCTCTATGGATAGGAAATCAGAAACACTAGAAAGGAAAAATGAAAAATAAAGTACAGTAAGAAAGGTAATGAGCAGTAGTCAAAAAAACAAGGGTTTTCCAAGAAAGAGAGTACACCTCTATAATCAGTTTCAACACATTAAAGACTGTTAGGGGCTAAACGAGCAAAGCAGGAGCCAGAGGACAGGCCCCTGAAACACTGTTTCATTGTCATAGAACTGAGCAGATCACACAAACTTAGCAGCTATATCTTTGTTTAGATTTTTTTTCATGTATTAGTTAAATGCTAAGTGTCTGACATAATTTTCTGTATGTATGTATGTATATATGTATGCATATATAAATTAGTAAACCTCTTGACAGTACATTTTTTGTAGACTGTAGATAATACCAGCACTCTTTAAACTCTGTAAGATTGTTTGGTAATTGTGTGTGCATCTCAATCAAAGGGTCTCACGAAAAAAAAAATTACATGATATTCAGTTTTTCCTTTTAAAAACAGGAGAGAACCTTAAGCGAGGAGCCACACAATTAGGGAAGGAGACAGACTTACAATGTCCTCCTCTGCCTACCAAGTTAAACATAAGCCAGCACTGAACACGTGTAATGAATTATCAGCAGGGCAGCTTTAGTTGATCCAGAGCTTAGTAGGCCCATAATAATAAATAACTGTAGTGCTTTCCCATCTTAAACACACATCCTCTGTTTCAGGTAATCAGAGAAGCCCTTAACTGACTAGAACATTAAACCAATGAAAATAAATAATGTTAAATAATTCCCTCTGGTTAGCCAGAAAAGTAATTGCTTTGGTATTTACAAACCTTCATCATCTTGATTCTTTCTTAACTCTCAGTAAAAGCCATGAGGAACAAAGAACAGAGGCCCCTGGTTCTGAAGCTCTCTACCTGTGATGCTTGCCTTACCTCCACCTGTAAGATTTACTATTGGTTCTTTCACTGTATTCTGGTCTCATTTAGAGCTTGTTTGGCCTTTCTTCTGGCCTTCATCTTTTCTATATCTGATGCTGTGCCACTGAAGTGGTCTCATTATTTCACTCAAAAAACAGACACTTTACGTAGTTTATCATGAACAGCTTACTGAAGGTGTCTTTCTGTTATTTTTACTTCCAGTGTAGGACAGGCCCTTGATAGTTTGTTAAACTGCACTTACCTCAGTTCCTTCTGTCTGCTCTGCTTCTAGCTATAAGGTTAGTTTACTTTAGAAGCTAAAGTACTATAATTGTTACTTAGTAGATTTGTTTTCCCCAAGTAAATCAATCACCTTACTCCTCAGATCCTTTAAATACATGAAAGGGTGTGGAAAATTGATCTTGTGTATACTGACGAGCTCTTTCAGTGAGTTATATCCCTCATCCAGTAGATGGTGTTAAAAGACTTTTTTTTTTCAAAATCTCAGATACTATTCATAAAAGTAGCTTCTGATTTTCTATTTTAATGAAGTAATAGTTTATTTTTTTAAAAACAAAATCACTTTGTATGATTTGGAAGCAGCTTACAAAAGCTGAATGGTGTGTATGTAATTTCAGGATTCAAGGAAATAAGTGCAAACTAGTGCAAAATAGTTTTAAGGGTTTTTTAGTTTGTTGTTTTTCCTTGTTTATAGGGTTGGTCTTGCTGTAAGAGAAGAACAACTGATTTTTCTGACTTCTTAAGCATTGTAGTAAGTATGAGTTTATTCCTTCGTATTGATTTCCTAAGAGTACATGTTCCTGGAGGCTCTAGATCGTGCAGTCAGATAACTGATATCCATTGTCTCAAATATCAGGCTGTACCATACTTTATAAAGGGATTGCATCTCCTCATAACCTGTAAAATCTTTGCCTTGGAGAATTAAGCTTTTATTATGTTAACTATTCATTTGTCATTTTATGGCCTTGATTTTGGTGTTCTTGAAGAGAACATTAGGAAGGAATTGGAAGGCAGGCAGTGATTAGGAGCAGATGCTCCTGTACTGCAGTGACTTGATGTGCTGGGGAGGGGCAGAGTGCAGTGTGTGAGGGGATGAGGAGGAAGAATGGGGGAAAGATCTGGATGAGGGGGACTGGGAGGACAGGGGAGGCTGATAATTGGGATGTAAAGTATATACATAAAAAATCTCAGTTAGAAGCAATAAATTTTATCAAGACATCAAGGTTTTAAGTGATAAGAAAGAACAATCATTTCAGTGTCATAGATGAGAAAAATAAATTTTAATAAATTATTTGGGTTAAGGTCATATTTCTACTTAATAGGAAAGGGGAAGCTCAGATTGTTTTATGTTATGTTGAGCAGGGTCTTATGCACCCAAGTATAGCCAGGGATGACATTGAACTCCTGATCTTCCTGCCTTCAAATACAAGTGCTAAGATTAGAAGTGGCACCATGCCAGGCTTAATAGTGTTGGAGATCAAACCCAGGGCTTTGTACATGCTAGACAGGCACTCTAGCAACTGATATAACAGGCTGAGACCCTTTTCAATAAAGAGCTTTGGCATGTATAAATAATTAGAAAAGGCTTTTAAAACACCCAAAATACAAACATACATACATACATAAAATAGGTCAGAGCATAACTGTTCATTCATATCGTTTACTAACAGGGCTGTACAAAAGGTAGGCATAATAGTGAGAAGCCACCTGAACCAGTCAAACCTGAAGTCAAGACTACTGAGAAGAAGGAACTATCGGAATTAAAACCCAAATTTCAGGAGCACATCATTCAAGCGCCTAAACCAGTAGAAGCAATAAAAAGGCCAAGGTATAATCTATGTAGCTACTTATATTTGTGACTGTATCATACTGGAATTTGTGGGTGGTATTTTCTTTTAGCATATTGTATAAAGACATTTGCAGTGACCACTGTATGTGTTTTTTTTCCTTTGGTAGTAACCCTTTAATTTTTGAGGGCATACACACACAGTTAGAGAGTTGTATATCTTTGTTTTCTGGTATATCATTCTCATGGTTTTCATGGTGAGATTTGGTAAAAGAATTGTCCTTTTATATAATTAGTTTGAATTGAAGCGCCACAGAGGCCTAGTCACTTACTTTACATTTAGATTAGTACTTAGGGAGTTTTCATTTATTTGAGTTAGGATACCCTCTTTGTCAAAATACTTTAAAAATTGCTTTTGCTCAGCTTGAAGTAGAACTAGATTGTTCTAATCTAATGATCTCCTGTTCAAACCAGACTATGTTTTGAAATGCATTAATGCAGTGGTCCCTAATACTGTGACATTTTAATATAGTTCCTCATGTTATGGGGACTCCCCAACCATAAAATTATTTCATTGCTACTTCATAACTATAATTTTGTGGCTGTTATGAATATTATGTAAATACCTGTTTTCTAATGGTATTAGGCAGCTCGTTTGAAAGGGTTGTTTGACCCCACCCCAAAGGAGTCATGATCCACAAGTTGAGAACCACTATATTAATGGGTTTACTCCTATAATGCAAGATCTTCAACCTGTACTTAAATAGTGGCTGTAGAATATAAATACAGAATTTGGGCTCCAGATTTGTTCCTCAGGTGAGTTCTTTTTAAGAACAAGCCTGAAATATCATCAAAACCAATTGAGGCTTTTATTTACATTATATATTTATAGTGTTGCCAAATATTTCTTTTATTATGTTTAAATAAATTTATAGATACATAATATAGCCCCAAAATAAGAATCCTGACTTTTGATGTTCATTTGTTCATTAATATTTTGAGGTATAGGCTGTAATTAGAGATCAAAATTCTTTTTATTCTATCTACAATATTATTTCAGTCTTAAGAGACTATCAAATACTAGCCTATGAATACCAGAACAGGACAAGAATTTTGTTACAGTACAGTTCATCCTTAAGTCTGTTACATCTCACTAGAGTCTATTAGAATTTAATGATAGTGTGAGTTTTTACCGTTTTTTTAAATGATGGGCTACAGAAATATAAGCCTTACTTAAGAGGCTATGAGAAAAAGTAAATGTGTTTTAATTTTTTATTGTGTTTTATCTGTAAGGGCATGTTTGCCTGCATGTGTGTCTGCCTACTTGCATGCCTGGTACCCATGGACAGCAACTGCTTTCTCTGAAACTGGAATTATAAACAGTTTTTGAGCCACTATATGGGTACTGGGAATCAAACCTCAATCATCTGGAAGAACACTATGTCCTCTAAACCACTAAACTAGCTCTCCAGCACTTAAATGTTTTATTTTAAATCTGTCGTTTTATTTTAAATCTATCTGATACAGGAATTACAAATTCTAGTATATTTCATTAATGTTTTACAAGTTATTGTAGATGCAGAGTGAATATCCTATGATCATTTATCACTATTTATTAATAACCTTGATATTTGTTTACTGAATAGGCTTATATATATATATATATATGTATATATATATATTCATGTTCATTATGAAGTACTAGAAGATGATGGTGGTTTACACAGTCATTGAATTTTATCTAAATTGAAAAGTCTATACTCTTGACATAAGTAAATTATTTCAGCTAGTACAGATCAATTTGGTTTCACTTAGTTCTTGAAAATTTGCTTGGGGATAAACTGAAAAGAATTCTATCTTGCTTTATATGGGAGTTACTCATCTTTCCAAGGTTGAATCTCTAGTCTTTTATCTCTTCTTACAGTCCACTGTGTAGTGGTATCTTTGTGCTACAGTGGCATAAATACTTGAGATTTAATTTTTTAATAGATGCAGCATTTTATTGAAAATTAGAATGTTGGTAGGTTGTGGCATTTATTTATGAAATACTTTTAATTAGAAATAACTTAATGCACAGATAATTTACACCTCATATGGAAGATTTCTAAGGTTATCAGTTTCAAGTACAACGAAGTACTTTGGCCTATTAATGATGATAATAAGACTTCAAAATTCTCTAGCCCAGATGAGCCAATGACGAACTTGGAATTAAAAATATCTGCTTCCCTAAAACAAGCACTTGATAAACTTAAGCTGTCATCTGGGAATGAAGAAGATAAAAAAGGTAAGACATTGTTTTTTATTTGTTTGTTTTTCATAATTTTCTGTCTAAGTAATAGACATAATTTAATAATTTTCTGTCAAAAGAGATAGCTATATTATACTGTCTTAAAGTATAGCATATTGTAGCAGAGAACTTCCGTTCTTCCCAAATGCTAATAACACCATAGAAGTAACATTTGGTTCATTGATTATGTCTATGTGCAAACTTACAATCCCTTAATTATTTTACCAGATAAATTTCTGTAATAACTAAAATGTTTCTTTGTGTATCATATAAAATATTTTTATCCATTTGATCTCTCTGTAATAATATCAAGGGAGAAAAATATTATCCATGATTTCTGTTTTATAAGAGAACATAATAAGATTTTATAAAATTGGATGATCACTGCATTGTAGTCTGAAATATAATGTGTATGATTTGAGGGCATATAGGCAAAAAGTAGGTATAAGGCTTTTTGTTTTGAGACAAGACATTGTTCAGTAGCTCGAATAGTTCTGGATATTGCTTGTGTGATCTAGGATGACTTAGAATTCATCATCATCTGCCTCAGTCTTTCAAGTGCTGGGGTGTACATTTGTTTTCCTCTAATTTTTTTTTTTATTTCAATTAGACTTGCTTTAAAAGAAAGTGGAAGTACTATTTTAATATTGTACTTTTATTCCTCTTGTTTCAAAAGGAGCATAGTTATGAAACCTCATGTTACCTTTCCTTTTTCTTCATTGCAGAAGAAGACAATGATGAAATTAAGATTGGGACTTCTTGTAAAAATGGAGGGTGTTCAAAGGTATATGTTATAAAACTTCAGATTTATGCAGTAAAATTTTAATATTGAAGCAAAGGACGGCAGTTCACTCTAAAGTTTGCCAATAGTTGTTTGCTACTTACATGTTTGACACTTTGCTCAAAACTAGGGCTATAAATACAGTACGACTTCTAAGAGAAACATCTGATGGAATGATGGGAATAAATTTGATTAACATTTAGTAAGCACTTGTTATGTGCTAGGCAACAAGTTCCAGGGGCTGAAGATAATAGAATCAAATTAAACAAAATGTCATCCTGTGGAGCATTTTCTAATGTGGACAGGAGGATAAAAATAGGCCATTGAATAATTAATTCAGTTAGACCTGAAATAAATACAATAGACCTAGCAACTACAGTGGTTTCAGTTGGAGATTACTTATATAAGATTTGTCAGTGGCACTAGGTAAGAATTCGGAGGTGAGGGGTAGGGGGTAGTGATAAACCTGGAAATAGCTATCCACAGAGGGAGCTGTACAAGTAAAGAGGCTTTAGAGAAATGCTGCTCAGCAGATGACAGGGTCATAGGGCTTGGGCAATAAGCTGAGAGGAGTGGGTGAAGAAATAGGCAGGATGGTGAAAGGCCTAACCCAGGACAAGGGGCTACTTCAAACTGATGGTAAGCCGTTGTCTGCTTCAGGGAGGTGTGTTGTCTTGTTTGTTGAAACAAGTCTCACTCTATCCCAGCCTGGCCTCAAACTCTAGTCCTTTTCCTCAGCTGAGTGGCAGGATTATAGTTGTGTACCACCATGCCCAGTTTAGGGAGAGAACTCTATCATAAGTAGAATCAGAAGAAGGGAAACCAACTTCAATCCTATTATAGAAAACCAGGTAGTGTTATTCCAGAGAGTAGGTTGCTGAGAAATGACTAAATGTAGAGTATGGCTAGACATCATGAGACCTTTTGCTGTCTGCTCTGTATACCCATTCATGCTTTTTCCTCTATGACACTTTCACTTTTACGTGACTCATTTTGTTTCCTTCTACACCCTTCTCATGGTAAGGGTTATAATATGGTTTTGTTTGCTTTTTGTTGTATTTTGAATGCTTATCTATGTGACTAGCATATGGGTGATATGTGTACAATTAATGGTATCATTTGAATAGTTGAGAATTCAAGAACATGGTAATTGATGGACTTTGGGTCACAAGAGCATTCAAGAACCTGGTAATTGATGGACTTAAGGTCACAGCCTATGTCCCAAGAAGCCAAGTCTAGCCAGTCATCTTTGATAATTTAGTTGAAACAGATAAATTAATAGTGAAAAGCATGAAAAGCTTTTATTCATGTGATCACATTGGGGAGAGAAACAAAGATCCAACAACACCCACTCAAAGTCCATTTTGGCTGAGTGAGATTAAGGCTTAAATAGAGAGCTAGAAATACATATAATGAAACAGTCCCAGTCGGGGTATGTCCCCACCTACCATACATTCATTATTGTTTGGCCTTTCCATTTGACTTGGTACTGGATTTGGACCTTCTGTTCTCCTGGATTGAGATTCCTGGAGGCAATTTATTCAAAACTTAAGGGCTTTCAAAGTGAATATGACACTATTGAGCAGGACAGCTTAACTACTAGTTGACATTTTTCTTCCAAAGATTTCTATCAGCATTTATTTTTTGCTTGTTACAGATGGTAATGTAAAAGGAATAATAAAACTTGTCATCTTTCTTAATTTATCTTTTTTCACTTATGTTTGTTAGATTTCTTTTATGAAATATAGCCATGGTCTGGCCCGCTTCGGTGCTTTGAGGATGTTACTGCTAAAGTGCACTGCAATTGATAGTTGATTTTTCCTTCCTGTTTTTTTAATAATGTCACTCTTAAAATTTCAGTGTGTAACTTTAGTAACTAGAAATGGAATTATATGAGTGTGCACTTTTAGCTGATATGGAGGCATATGCTTAATATTCAATGGGTTCGAGCCTGTGCCAAACACTGGCAGTCTTGTCAGTGTTTCTCCTCTTTTCTTGCTTTTTACTTTCCTCACTGGTTGTAAAGTGACTAGCTAGTTCTTTCTTCTCAGGTTAAATGTATGTAATCTCTCACTTACTTTTTTGTCATCTTTTTCTCGATAATCACAAGATTATTAATTGTAGGAAATCTTATCTTACAGCTGCAAGTCCTTTGTCAGAGACATTTGTATGATTTGCACTGACCTGATGATGTCATTGATAAACAGAGGAACTTTTAATTTTCACGCAATGAAATTTGTGTTTTTTCTGTTATCCTGCTTATTTAAGAAATGCTTCTGAGCTATAATTTTCTCATGCAGTGAAAAATATATGAAACACCTAAAGTTGTGTGTTGTGATTTGAGAAGAATGGTAGTAATCAGAAAATTGTACCCAGTAGAGAAGTGAAATTAAGAAGTGGGAAATGGGTGAAGTTAAACTGATAAATGTTTACATTTAGTTTCACAAGATTTTGTGATAACTTTGGAGGTAGAAAGGACAGACTTAATGATTCACACATGGAAGACTGAGTACATTTAGTGCCATTGAATAAGATGAGAAAAGAGACATTTTTAGGTGGCAGTTATAAGTTTAGATTCTAACATACATACTTAAAGAGATAAATTCCTAGCACTTTGTACTTAACAAAAATGAAACGAAAAATTTTGGTCTTCTGTACTTTAGTTATATAAATACAAAAATAGAGAATATACTGCAAGCTGCATCCATGTTTTATTAACATAACTTTTTGTGAATTCACCTGTAGAGCCTTCATGTACAGCAGCAGTGGGGCCCGGATCTTCCAGACAAACCATGGATGTGTATATAGGTCTGCAGCTCATTTTACCATTTGTAGGGATAAAAAATCAGTATTCTACTGAAACTTGCAGAAATGATTAGACTTCTCATATTAATTTGTAATGCCCACACAGAGTGAATATACTGTACATATAAATCATGTTTCTGTTGATAGTACAAGTCCCTTGATTCCAACATGTTGTTGTAGATTTGAATACTTGAATATAAATCAGTGTAACCTCATGCTGAAAAGGCTAAAACCATCTTATATAGTAAGTTGCCTACCTTTCTGTTTGCTTTCTTTACAGAGATGTAGAGTTTAACCATGTCCAAAAGAGGGTTATTTTCCAGTTCTTGATGAACTTACCAGTGTTCTTGTAGCTGCTGTTATTTAAGTATTTTATGAAGGTCTTATGAGTAACCAGTATTTCAGATAGGTATTATAAAATGCAAATGTGAGATGAACAGCTAATATTTTTCTTCTTTGTTTTGTAGACATACCAGGGTCTACAGAGTCTAGAAGAAGTCTGTGTGTATCATTCTGGAGTACCCATTTTCCATGAGGGGTAACATACATATACCTAATTAAAATATTTATAGTATTGATTAAAACATTAATTAAACCTTTATACCTTTAAGCACTGCCATGTAGTTACAGTAAAAATTTTACCTACATGGCCACCGTTTAATCCTTATAATAACTTAAAGTGGGCAGGCGCAATTGCTTTCATTAAACATAGGAGAAAAATAGGACTACAATTTTTAAGTAATCATTGTGATTCTGCAGTGTGATCTTATTTAGACTTGTTTGATTTTTTTTTTAGTTTGAAGTAGGGTCCTACAGGTTATGCGGACTGCCTCTACCTCAGGATCCTCAGGCCTTAGCCTCCTGTGGAACCGCTTACAGGCTGTCCTACCATGTAGTCTGAGTTACTTTTCTTTGTGTAAAGGACTGACATTCAGTTTTAGAACCTTAGTTTTTTTTAGCCATGGAGAAATGAAAGCACCAGTACCCAGGAAAGGCCATGCTTCTCCATAACTCTCAATTCATAGTTTGTTTCTATGTTATGATACAATTATATACAATTAATATATAGAAATTTTACTAGATTAGATTTTTCAACTGTTTCCACATACTTCAGGACTTTTAACCTGGAGATTGATAATTTTTTGTTCCCTGTGCAGGAATGTTTCTTAAGTTAGTAGTGGTTTTACCTTCTTTGTGATTGGCCATCATATATGGAAACACTAGTTTCTACTTTGTTCCATGCTCTTTACTGTGTTATTGAAATGTAAATATTAGTGTCTTTGGTCATGCTACATTTTAGTAGCTTCATGAGGGAACTAGGTGTACATTCTCTATGAGAAACTAGACCTGGAATTGTGATAGTTTTGATTATTTACTCGAAAGCTGAGTTAATACAATGAATAACACCCTAGTTTTTAAAATGTTTCCCTAGTATGAATTATTTTAACAGTTAAGTATCAAGTACTTGCAAGATATGTAAAATTGGAGTTTTTATTTCTTAATTACATTTGTTATAATGATAATATTGGCTTTAATTCATTGTCTAATTTAAAGGATGAAATATTGGAGCTGTTGTAGAAGAAAAACCTCAGATTTTAATACATTCTTAGCCCAAGAGGGCTGTACGAAAGGGAAACATGTGTGGACTAAAAAAGATGCAGTAAGTAACCTTCTCAGAGTCACATTCTGATCTGTATTCATATGAATCATTTTTAAGATTAGTATGTATTTATATTAAAAAAAATGCTCTCTTATAGGGTAAAGCATTGGCATATATACAAAATAGTTATCTCAATATCTCAGCAATATGTCTTTTGACAAAATAATCCTTGTATGTATTGATACAGGTGTATAAGTTTTCAAAAATACCCTAAACCTGCCAAAACTGAAAGATCTTTGTCTTACTAAAGTAGTTTCACAAGAGCTGGAGAATTGGCTCAGTGGTTAAGAGCACTTGTTCTTGAAAGGACCAGGGTTTGGTTCGCAACATCTACAAGGCTCACCACTTCCTTAGGCACCATACATGCATGTGGTACACAGGCTACATGCAAGAAAGCACTCATCCACACGAAATGTTACTAAACATTTAAAACATTTAGTGTTACTAAACCAATATTTAAAACTGATTCTTATTCTTCTCCTTTTTCTTTTTCTTCTTCTTCTCCCTCCTCTTCTCCCCCCTCCTCCTCTTCCTCCTCTTCTTCTTCCTCTTCCTCTTCTTCCTCCACTTTTTTTTTTTTTTTTTTTTTTTTTTTTTTTTTGCCACAAAAGTATCAATCACAAATAGTCTTTCTATCTCGTGAGCAAAAGTCTTAGGTCTATGAATGTAATTCCTTACCGTCCTTTAAGTTAAAACCAAGAAAATCAATTTGTTGCTAAATAAGGGTTTATATGCTAGATCTTATTATTTTAATAGGATGATTAATATTAGCAATCTTTTGTGTTATGCTGTTATTAATAATGTTTTATGATCCTTTCTAGGTCATAAAACTTGTAGCTTTAACTCAAGGATGTTCAGTATTTGGGTATCTCATTGTTGTTGCTTTTGAATCATAGTTTACTGTCCATAAAACTTGCAGAAATATTTTACTAGCAGAAAGTGAGGTATGCTTACACATTTTTTCTGTATTGTCAAAGCTTAACAGTTTAAATATTAAAAAATAAATTATGCTTCACTTTTTGTTTAAAATTTTTCAGAGTATAGTCCCTGGTGATTTTTCTTTTTCTTTTTCTTTTTTATTATAAGTGTTTCAGAGTTCCCTAAATTTTGTGGCTAATTTGTTCTTTCTTAGAGCAGTTTACTTAAAAAAAATCACCAATTTTTCATTTGTTTTTGAAATTCGACTGATACATAGTGTAGCAGTGGAGAATAATAATAATGCTCCTTTTTATAATAGCAGTCAAAAGATGATTTCTGTAAGTTGTGACTTTATCTGCATGTTAATGTTAAAGGACAAGATAATTTAATAACCATAAGAATGGTTATTAGCTAACAATTTGTGTTTGTATATGTGTGTGCACATGCATAAAGAGTCCACGTTTGGTCACCTTACTTCATGAAATACAATCTTTCCCTGACTCTAGAGCTCACCAGTTCAGTTATGGGATCTTGTGCTCAGTCCTCTAGCATTAGGGTTACAGATGCATTCCAGCACATATGAATATCTTTATGTGGGTACTGGTGTTCCAAACTCAGGCTTCATGCTTGAAAAGCAAGCATAATACCAGCAGAACCGTATTTCCAGTCGTAGCATTCCCAAAATGTTCATTCATACAAAATAAGCTTCTCATGCTTTCAAGGTCGCATGTTGCTTCCTATCATATAAATGTGTTTCTCATTTCTGTCATCAAAAAATGATTTTAACAATATTTAGTAGACTATGGATATTAAAATGGAATAAAAGTTTAGTTAGGCTTGTAAAATTATCTCCTCAATGGACTGTAACAATGTTACCTTAAAAAAGAAAAGCCAAATTCGAGAAATGAGGGTACTCACAGCATGAACTAAGATATTTTGTATCATAATTTATTGTTTAACCCTCTCAGTAGGATCTTTAGAAGTTGTTGCCCAGAATGCATGAAGTGCTTAGTTGTGCAAAATCATTTTTCCTTTATTAATTGAGCTAGTTCTTTTGGAAACAGTGATTGTACAGTGGTTTTTAACGTTACAGAGTTTTTCTTTCATTCCAGGGGAAAAAAGTTGTTCCATGTAGACACGACTGGCATCAGACTGGGGGTGAAGTTACCATCTCAGTATATGCTAAAAATTCACTGCCAGAACTCAGTCAAGTAGAAGCAAATAGTACATTGGTAGGTATATTAAGTAACTCAATAGACATTACCTTAAACCATTGTTTATATTAAACATTTTCTCAAACGTTCTTATTTCTGATCAGAAAATCACAAATGACTTTCATAGAAACAGGATTTTAAGTGCAGCTCATGTAGTAGTTTATTCTAAAGTTATCTAGAAGTACAGTAGCTTATAAGAGTCACAAAATACATACTTGTTTCTCAGTATAGAACTTCTAGCTTAGCTGGGCGGTGGTGGCGCATGCCTTTAATCCCAGCACTTGGGAGGCAGAGGCAGGCGGATCTCTTAAGTTTGAGGCCAGCCTGGTCTACCGAGTGAGTACCAAGACAGCCAGGGCTACACAGAGAAACCCTGTCTCGAAAACCAAAAAAAAAAAAAAAGTCTAGCTAATTTTTCCTGTTAATCATTTTCTTTAATGAAATGGTGGGGCTCAGTTTTGGCATTTTCTCATGGCTTGAGTAATGTCAATATTGTCTTTATAATTAGTACATAGTCTCACAAACCTTCAGTATGAATGTAATCAGTTACTGTTCTTCACTTGGTGTGGTTCAATGTTTTACTGCATGGTTAGTGAGTATTAAGGTCATGTTTTCAATACATAGCACCAAAATAATCATAATAACTTATCTATTTCAGTTAAATGTACACATTGTGTTTGAAGGAGAGAAAGAATTTCATCAAAATGTGAAACTATGGGGTGTAAGTATTATGAATCCTTCAATTTTTCCTAATACTTAAAAACATTTTTAGAATACTTATGTAAAGCTCATAAATATAACCTTAACATGTCCTATCGGGATACTTAAATTACATAAAAATGACCCCAGAAGCTTGATTTTGATATTAGAATAAACATGATATGTTTTTCTGAGATCAATAAATGCACCATGTTAACTCTTACTCTTGTCTTACTCTTGATGTGTTGTAGGTGATTGATGTTAAACGAAGTTATGTAACTATGACTGCAACAAAGATTGAAATCACTATGAGAAAGGCGGAACCCATGCAGTGGGCAAGTCTTGAACTACCTACAACCAAAAAGCAAGAGAAACAAAAAGATATAGCTGATTGATTAGAGGAGAAACAGAAATCTCTTGTCTATTTTAGAGTTGTTAGTCCATGTGGTGAAGTAGTTGCTTGCTGCTGTAATCTTTTTGTTGTTTTTAATCTGCCACTTTGGGGTTATCATGAGGTTCTTCAAAGCCAAAGTCTGTTAAACTTTTGTGCCTCTATATTCCTTTTGAGTTGCATAACATGATTATTCAAGTCTCCTCACTAGACCTATAGTTGTTGCCCTTACAGTTGAAGGGAGGGAAAGAACCCAAAAGTATAATTGCAGTATTTTTTGGTATAAATTATTGTAAGCAGGAAATGAAAAGGGATTTTTTTTTAATCCTGATAACTCCTTTTTCCCTTAAATGGGAAAGCAAAGTGGTATATAAAAATTTAATTGGCCTATCCATGAACTTTTGTTACTCTAATTTTTGAAAATCTTTAAGGAAAAGACTTTTGTTTGTTTTTCCCTATGCAGTGGTTACTTTTTGCAGTACTAATTCTGAAGCAGTTGAGTCACACTATCTGTGTACTGGCTAAGGTTATAATTTGTTTGCAGTTAAATTAATTACAGAAAGTTGCATCAATACTTGCATTACCTGGCAAGCAGTATAATTTAAGTCTATAGAAAATAAACTAAGATTATAGAATTATCAGTTTGGTTAAAATTCATCATAAGAGTAAGCAATAATGTTAAAGTCTCTTTCCTGATTATTTAAAAGACTCTTTATGGTGTTTTGACTAAATTGTATCTGATTGATAGTCTAAACACTCTATGGATTATATCTGTCTCCTTGATGAAAAATGGTATCTGTTAAATTGTGAATGTGTAGCTTTGTTGAAATATATTAAGGTGTGTGTTGAGGCTTAAACCAGAAATGTACCTGGAGGCTTGTTTTGAGCTGCTGATCTTTCAACTTAAGGCTCTATTTTGAAGGCTGTAAAACCTTTAGGATATTGAGGGGTGAGCCTTTGAGGATTATACACTCCTGCTGGTCTGATCCAGTCAGGACATATGAACCACTTCTGTCCCATACTCCCACTGCTGCCTCCTCAGCCATTATAGATTGTATCCTCTGAAACCGTGAGCCAAAATAAACCTTACTTCCCTTGAGTTGTTTCTGTCATGTGCTTTGATCAAGACAAGAAAAGTAATATACTACAGGAAAATTATAGACTATATTTTAGAATAGCTGGATGTTTTATGTTAAACTTAGTGTAGTAGTTTAATTCTTGGGAGTTATTTTAAGGATTTCATGAAGAGTTTTACACATATAATGGTTATATGTTATACTTCATTTTTGTTAATTGTAGATGACACAGATAAACTTAGATAGATCTAAATGAAAGTTGAAGGTCTTTATTTCCTAAGCTCTTTGGTGTAAATGAAATCCTTGCAAAGTTTTATTATAGTCAAAGTATTGTTTTAGTTAATAAAAAAATCTGTATGGGGGCCTCGAGAGACAGCTCCTTTAAGGGCACTGGTTAATGGCTTCAATTCCATATGGCAACTTAAGATACTTCAGGATACAGGTTCTTATGGTCTCCATGGGCATCAGTCAATTATGCTGTGCTCTTAGATATAGCAGGCAACCTATTTGCATGAATCATCATACTGCTATTAGCAAATATACCTCCGGCGACAAGTATAAAAGATACTAATCTAGCCTTCAGGCTTTGATGAAGCAAAAACATGCTAAAAAAAAAAAATTGGCAATAAAAATCTGGGATCCAAATAGTGTTTCTAAGTGTCTAGTTAAAACAGAATGCATTTAGAAAAAGAGATCTTTGAAACAATTTGATTCAGAATAGTAATTATTTCTGCATCATTTACTTATTGAGGTGGATTATTTTCCTTTGAATAGCATCAACTTTGCTGGGGTGTCACTGTTAGAGCAAGTAAAGTTTTCTAACTTTAGACTTGATTACACAACATTTTTTTTCATAGTTGAGCAGGGGTTACATTTGTGACCATTTAATTGCTGTTTCAGAACTTCTGCATGGCATTCAGAAAAAATTAAGTGAAATTTACCTTAAACTCTAAAGCAATAGTATTTTTAAGAAAGAATATTTTACCCTGTCAGTTTATTAAGAAAAGCTAATAAAAAATGCTTGTTAGCTTTTACTTCTATTAGATACATGCGTTTCTTTTATTATAGCATCAAAACAATCAAACCTAGATATATTTTATACACATTGTAACTTAATTTATCATGAGAAATTTAAAATGCAGTTTTTCTTGTCTAGCTTTTGCTTGCACAAAGGAAGTAATATCCTAAGTTGACCTGTCTTTCTTAGCCTTTCATTTTGGAATAACTTTATATTGGTGGAATTATAAAAATAGTGCAGGAGTTTTTTGTAATAAGTATATTGTCTCCCTGTGGTAAAAATCTTACATGATATTTTACAAAATTAAGACATTAACCTTAATATAATATTTTAAAGTAGGAGTGTTTAATTTTAACCGTTTTAGTGGAACCCTTAAAGGGTAATAATTCTTGAAACCTTTTTTAAAACTTAAGCCAGTGATGTAAACAAAACATGAATTGAAGTCAGGTGTGTATAGGTTGATGTGTACATTTTTCTAGAGTAAAATACTGTCAGTGCAATAATTCAGCTGTGACATTTGTATCTTATTTTATGGGTCTTTGTCTTTGTTCCATATAATTTGTTTGATTCTCTAGGATTAGTTCTTCATCAGAATGAAGAGAACAATTAAAAAATTCTTGCAAATATTTTGAGTCCTGAGAGAGTCCTGGGTGATACTGCTTCCAACGTTTTATTTAAAAGATTACCCTGGGGGCTGGAAAAATAATAGTATAGTGGTTAAGAGCACTTGCTATTCCTCTGGAGACAGCTTTCCAGCACCCACTTTGGGCACTTAACTACCTATAACTTCAATTCCAAAGGATGTAATGCTTTCTTCTGGCCTTTTTTGTGTGCACCCACAAGCAGAGAATAATTTTAAAAAAAGTTTTACTCTGAAAATGGGATCTTTAATACACCCACAGTAAACTTGAAAAGCTCATTAAGAGACCTAGTATTCACTGACAGGTACTTAGGTACATATTTAACATCATTTTGGTTCTGTTTTTATCTTTGTTTTTGTTTTTAGCAGCTCTATTTTTGAAGTTTGAAAAGTAAGGGTTGGTTTGTGCTACTGTTTTGTTGCAGGTTATTTTATTCAGTATTGTTTTATGGCCTTACTCTGAAGTATGAGCTATTAAGTCCAACCTGGTTTTTTTAAAAAAGGTTTTATTGGTCTGTCTGATTTCTTTCATATCAGTAGAAGGTCATGTTTTTACTTGACTGCATATTTTCTATTCTTAAAACTGTAATGCACCTCATCTTTCATGGACCTTTTAATTAATGATAGTTTCTCATATCGCTGGGTATATAGCATTCTCTCTGAAATACCTACCTTGCCAGGTTTTTACATGTGTGTGTGTGTGTGTGTGTGTGTGTGTGTGTGTGTATTTTATATACATATATATGTATATATCTTTATTTTTTTAGTTTTTATAAAGATTTTAGATGTGAAGAAATTCTTCAAGAAGGGCTTCCAAAGACTTTGATTTTCATTAATGATCTTTAAAAATTTTATGTCATTTAAAGATTTCGTATTAAAATAGCGTGATTTGTTACTCCTAGTATTCAAATGAATAAATTGTAAAATTACCTTTTCAAAAAGATTTTCCTAATTACAGACTAATGATTAAACATGGAAAAAGAAAAATTTCCCAAAGTTGAGGCACTGTCTTCTTTACATCAAAGACATTGGATAAGTATGTTCCTGTTCTATGTGTATTATTTGTCATAGTACTTTTGCTACCTGCATATTAGTTTTGCTATTTTTATTTTGGCCAACTAATTAATGCCTATTTTCTGCTGCAATATTTGGCATATTTGGTTAGCTGTTGGCATATTTGACAATCATATATTGTAATGAACTAGCATTGTTTTAAGAACATCAGTGAATATACTTACTGCTCATATAAGTACCTTACTACCCTGTGAGGTATATTGTCCTGTAATACAAGTGAGGAAAGGGATTCACATCACATTGTTTAAACTTTCACAGAGCTGAAATCACTAAGCTGTTCAGCAAAGATTGCAGACGCAGGCACTTTGAGTATGATCCCTGTGCCCGTGCCTTTGTTTTGCCTCTGTCCAGACAGACATACTCTGTATCATACTCTGCTCATCAGGTGACAGAATAGCTTTTTTAAAAATACTCGCACATAGCATGGAAAACTGGTAGCAGATGTTATGTTGTTAGAAAATAATTTCACAAAATGTGTCATTTTGTCTGGATGTTTTTGATTAATAGCCTATTAAAAACTCATCATTTGTGATTTGTCACCTCTTAGAGTCTGTGGTTTCTCCAAAGATCTTTGAAAGAAATCTCAAAATCCTCAATGCACGAAATCATAAATGTTTTAATTACTATTCAATCAATGTTACATACCTTGTAGAAGTGTATGCTAGAATTTAGACTCAAACAGCAGCAAACTTCCCTTGCTTTAGCCACTGATGTATGCTCTATTTAAAACAGCATCAGAATTTGGAGTTCCTAGAACATATTTCTAGTTTAACAATACGTAGTTAGAACCAAACAATTAAGGATCGTTAGATTTTTGTCTTCTTTCTCCTGTCAGACCAATTAGTCAGAATACTATTTCTACACTAGACTAATCACCCATCAATAAAAATATGTAAGAAATGAAAATTCTTGGTCCCCAACTCTAAACACTAAGTTAGAAACTGGAAATGAGACCTAAGATTACAAAATAATTTCCAGTTCAGAGGTAAAACAATTTTTTAATTTCTTAAATTTATCTTTTTGGGGTATATTATGGTGATTCGTGTTTAGAGTATATGAATCATATCAAGGTAATAACCATTTCCATCTCTTTAGCCACTACTCAAACATCTTTATATACTGGGACTTTAAGTTCTGTTTTGGTTATTTTGAAATACATCATGTGTTGTGATATGCCTAAAAAGTGAAAATTGAGTTCCTTTTGTATCCATGTTTTTTTTCACATGAATACCAACTCAAATCTTAGATCAATTTGATACAAGGTATTTGTAGGTAGGAGAAAGAGCCAGGAAGGTATAATAGCAGGAAAGAGAAGCAGGAAACTACAGTCTTGAATGGGAATTAGAGAATGAATATTCTGAATAGTTCCAACATTTGAGAAAAGAGGAAGAGCCCAAAGCAGGCAGATAATAGATTCTGGAAGTGACTGGTTCTCAAAGAGATTTCTGAGTCACAAGTCAAATCAAGTTGCCCAGGCTTTCCGGAGGCTCTATAGTGAGACTCGGTTAGATTTGGAAACTGAGTAATCAGCAGGATGTGAGATTCTACAACCTGAGGATGCAGCATTAAGAAGATCCTGGCCAAAAGTAAAAACACACTACAGATAGTACAGGCATAAAATAAATGAAATATTTCAGTAAAATGATTGAGTAAAAGATTCATTTACATAAATACGTCACATGTTTGATGAATACCACCATGCCATCTGTAATGTGCCTCCCATTAGAAGGAGTCTTTTTTAATTTTTTTTTTTTAACGATTTACTTATTTTGTGTGAATACACTGTTGCTGTCTTCCGACACACCAGAAAAGGGCATCAGGTCCTATTACAGATGGTTGTGAGCCACCATGTGGTTGCTGGAAATTGAACTCATGACCTCTGGAAGAGCAGTCAAGTGTTCTTAGAGCCATCTGTCCAGCAGGAAGGAGTCTTATCAGAAGAATGAAAGAGCGGGAAAACAACTCAAGCCAGTGTGTTTCAGACCTGGATTCAGTCAGTAATAAAACATACAGTACATTCTTAAGGAAAGTGAAAGTTTTTGTCAGATTACACAAACATCGGTACTCTGAATTGGTCATGATAAGATTGGTATGATTACAAGATTTTTTAAAAAATTACTTTAGATGGTTTTCTGGTAATTAAAACCAGATTGAAAAAGATCCTAAGCTATCTGCATCCTGTTAGAAGCCATATTGGCCACTTTGGATACATTAAGATTTCCTTTCTCCTTACATCCCTGGAAAGAGGCAGTAGTGAGCAGAGGAGTCATCTTTACAATGCAGGAAGTTTTTCTAAAACAGTGAAATGAGAGAAAATCAGAATTGTAAGGTAGTTGATGGAATTCAGATTAAAGGAGGGTTTTTTTGTTTTGTTTTGTTTTTCAGGTAGATGAAGTATCTGTCTTTAAAAGTTGATTAACGGAAATTTCAGAAATGATTGATGATTGTGACTTAAGTTTAGGAATTAAGCGATTTAAGGCTTATGCAAACTAAGGAGTTCTTTAATGTGTATCCAATACTTTGCCAAGTATTTAATGTTATGATTAGATTGCTATCATCCATATTCAGAGGGAAATGGTGTATAATTAATTTGTCTTAAGTCACAGATAGAATACAGTTCAATTTTAGCATGCGGGCCTTAGCCCCAAGATGACCGACCCCATGTATGGGTATAGAGCTGTCTACCAGAGTATGGGTAGTGTCCCAGTAGTTGTATTAGACTGTCTTTGTCCCCTTCAGCAGTCATTAATTACCAACATAGTCTAGCTAGATGTGGAACTTGTCAAGTCTTAATCTTTTGGGAAGAAGAAAGTTGTCTAAAAGTAATTAAAGAATAAGAAAAAGAAAATTCTCTAAAACTAACCATGTTTGAGTCTTAGAAGGTTGTCTCAGAAGTTAAGAGAAGTTAAGTTCTCTGCTCTCCAGAGAACCAGAAGTCAGTCCCCAACACCATGTAACAACTCATAACTGCCGATATAACTCCTCTTCCAGAGGGCTCAGTGTCCTCCTCTGACCTCGGAGGGCAATAGGCACACATGTAGTACAGATACCTACATACAGACAAAACACCCATACACATAGATAATATTTAGTTTATAAAATAGCCATCATTTACAGTAGAAACTATCCTTAGTGGTTTACAAGTGTCCTACAGCTGCTTTCCTCCTTTTCATGTGGTATTTTAAACCTCAAAAAGAGGCCTTTGTGATACTCCTTCACCCATTACTGATTTTCTCTTACTCCAAAACTGACAATGATGGAAACCCATCTTGGGTGACCAACAAGCCTCTAATATTAAACTAGCTTACTAACAAGTATTATATATCCTCTGGAGTTAAGGGTGTTCACAGCGCATCTGGCAGAATCCCTTATTCTGTCATTATTGATCACCTGTAGACTAAAATTAACAAATAACAAATTGAGAATACTAAGTTGGAAGTTTTACTATTTACTCCTAACTCACATTGCTAGTCATAGGTGTTGTGTGGCAGCCCTATTTTCCAGGAAAGCTACTACCAGGTGTAATTCCCAGAAATTTCAAAACTTTTCTCCTTTATCTCCTGTAGGCGTGATACTAGTTTTGATATTTAGAAATGTGTAGTGTTTCATTGACTTGGATAGTGGAAAAGTATAAGCAGCAGGAGTGGGGCTGGGAATAACATCTCACCTTCTGCATCAACTGGAATGGTTTTTCTTCCAGAGACCTCCAATGGAGGGAAGCCAGTATGTGACAGAAATGCAATTTATTAAGGTGACATCTTAATGCAGATTTAAGGATAAATATTAGTAGAGCGGTATCAGATTCCAAACAGATGCTGCTTGGTCATGCTGGTCTGCTGAGACCTTTCCACCTTCAGAGCTTTCTCTGCTTCCACTACTATAGGGAGCTGACTGACAAAGTCTGTAATCCTCACTTCTAAGGAGTTACCAAACTGTGCATAACCAGACTAGGAAACTGACAAGCACTCTGTGACTAATTCTTACTTCCCCAAAGAAGTTTGTCAAGCTACCTAATCGTTACAGGTAACTGGTGACAAATGCCCTCTGAAGGGCTTCATTAACTATAAAAAACTTGAAACCTTCCCCTGCCCCCTCCTTTGCCACTAGGAAAATCAGAGCCAATAGCTTATCAACTATAAGGCATAGGATCTCACCCTCTAAACCAGTGGTTCTCAACCTTCCTAACGGATCTGTACCCAAAGGAACAATTGCTTCAGTGTCCCTCTTGAACTACAAATTGTAGACATTAGAGGAAATAATAGAGTGCAGTCAAGGCCAGGGGAGGGCTCCACAGAGGTAAGCAATGCCTAAGCATCTTAACAAACAGCCACATTAGATTTTGGTTGCTTCTGAAGTTATATTGTACAAAGGGTTGTCAAAAAATGCATACTCTTGTTTTCCTTTTGATTTCTGTAATTTGGTTGGTGCCCAAGGGTGCACTGGACAAGATTATAGGCTGATATCACAAAACTATAGGCCACCAGGATTTTAAATCACAATAAAATTTATGTTCGTTAGTGGGGCGGTGAGCTATGAGAGACAGCCAGGCGCCTGGTCAAATGAGCTTTGAACCCCCGGAGGACCCCCTGGGACAAAAGACGTTTAGCTCTTTTTAGGCCTCTGGCTCTCTCAGCTTTAGCTCCCCACAGCCCCTCCCATAGAGAGGCCTATGGCGATCGGTCACGTAGGAACCTTAACCCACCCCAAACTATATATATTGGCCCAACTCAAAAATAAAGTGAGTACAAGATTCATCCCATTGTCTGAGAGCTTCTGTCATGGTCCCTCCCCTCTTTGCTGGCCAACTGGTGCCTCACCAGACACTTCAAAGAGCTATAACACTTCCCCTCTGCACCACAGAGACAGGATTAGAGGCGACAGAGACAACAACAGACTCTCCCTGTCTACAGTCCATCCCTCCAGACCACTCGCACTCGCAGACAGAGACAGTGGCTGTTAACACCCTGTCCTCACCCACGCTAGAGATTCTCGTGAGACCACATCTAGAGCCAGTCCCACATAGGTTTAACTGCAAACAAAGTTTATTATAGTTTTGTGAAACCCATGAAATATTACAGGTTCAACCAGACTGACATGAGGGGCTCCCTTCTCCATGTTGCCTTGTCCTCATCTTTCTGCCCTGTCTCATGCTCATAGTATGGGGTTCAGCAAGCTTTGTGTTTGTCTAACACTCCCCTCATTAAATCAGACTGTCTTGGTAGCCAGGATGGGAGAATAGTGAGATCATTTCTTCTTGTGCTCAAATTTAGCTGTTCTTACTATTTTAGTTAGTGTGCTCTTCTAAGGTTATTTTTTTATTTATAAATTCCTCCATGTGCATAATATATTTTAAGCATATTCACCCCCCAAGTCCTTTTTCTTACCACTTTCCCATTCCCTTCAAAAACTCTTCCCGAATACTTTCTACTACTTTCATAGCTTTTTTTTTTTTTAATTCACTGAATTAAATTAGATTTGCTTACATGTTCGTGGTAGTGCTCCTGGTTACTGAAAGCTGAACAACTTACCAGTGACTATAGGCCTGAAAAACTAGCTTCCTCTCCCCTCGCCATTAACCACCAATACTTATTCATTTGCAGGTGGGCCCTCATGAGTCCATCTTCTGTCTGTTTTGGAATCTTTTGCTTGATCTTGTGTATATCACACAGTTGTACAGTTTATGTGTACAACGATAATGTTCAGATGACCATTTCACAACACTCATTTCAATCTTTCAGCTCTTATATTCTGTTCAGACTCTCTCCTTTGTTGCTTCTTGATGCTAACAGAGTAAATTAAATAACTTTATTTTCAATTATTTGGTGAAGTAAAGAACCAAGCTTACTTGATATGAGAATGCATGCATGTATATATATATATATACCACAGTGAGTCCAATCATCTGCCTATGAGCTTTGGGTTTGCTTCCTGTTTTACTTTTACTGGATATGCATATAAGAGTTAAAAAACCCTCTTTACAGATAAATAAGGTAGAAGGACAAAACATGTCATGACAATCACAGTTTTAGGATTGTCTGGCTTCGTAAATTGTAAAAGAAAAAGGCGCTTTTTTTTTCTTCAGATTCTCAGCACCTTTAGCAGGGAATCCATTTGGCCAAGACCCACTCTCCAACAGTTTCACTCTCAGACACTAAGCAATACTTTTATAGTGATGAAGCTACTTGACAGAAACCTTCCTATAACACATCTGTCAGTGTCCCTGCTGCTGCTTGAATTGTGAAAGCTGCAATAGAAATGTGTTTCTTCACTTCTGCCCAGGCCGAGTGAGGGTCTGCCTTATTTTCAATATCAAACATGGCATCATAAATCCCAGGGAATGATTCTCCGGCATATTTGTTGTGGCTGCTTGGAGCAAAGATGATGTGCCTAAACGAACAAACAAAATTGCTTGTTTTAAAACAAATGAAGAGTAAATGTCAGAGCTACATTTATCTAAGAAGTTGTTGGGCAAAGTATAAGTGCAATATGTCATACAGTCATCCAACAAAATCTTTACTATAGTAGCTTTATTCTAGAACACTGCTGTAGACTGATAAAGCAATATGAACCACTTCAATATTCACGTATCTAAATATTCAATTAAACGAAATATATTTTAAAAATACGTGGTAATGTTTTGGAAGACATTTTGATATATTCTCATTAAATTTTAAAATGTGTTGCTTTTTTGGCACTGAAATGCCAGGGCATGATTATAAAGATATTAATAATTATAAATGTTCAAATTGAACACAAGGACATCTTAAGGAATTTTGTTTTGTTTTGTTTTGTTTTTCGAGACAGAGTTTCTCTGTGTAGTCCTGGCTGTCCTGGAACTCACTCTGTAGACCAGGCTGGCCTCGAACTCAAAAATCCACCTGTCTCTGCCTCCCAAGTGCTGGGATTAAAGGCGTGCGCTACCACTGCCCAGCAGGAAGTGTATTTCATACTGGTTGAGAGAAGCTCATCTAACAAATCTCAACAATAAGTCATCAAAACTGTAAATCGAAGCCTAGCAGTGAAGGACTATATAGGGGATTAAAGTTCTAAAATCATCTATGCTGATATCATTAGTTGGGCTTCTGAGAAAAAGAATATGGCTCCGTTTGTGTAAATATAAATATTTCTGTACTTGAAGATCTGTGTGTGTGTGTGTGTGTGTAAATGTCTATATTTACAGACAAATATATGAATATAGTAAGCAGTTACCTGTTAATAAATATATATAGTTAAATGAAACTTGTATAATGTGCACATTTATTCAGATATACATACACATTATATAAGTGTGTTAACACATCACCCAATGTTGAGTTTCCCTGAAATAGAAATGAGCAGATAAGCAGTTGAGTGAGCAGATGAAGTAGAACTGTCGCTCGACTACAGGCTTCAGAGTCCGAGCATTTTTAAAAGGACATTTTCTGTGTACAGATTAGTTCTAAAGGGATTAATAGACTAGCAACTTCTACGAAAGGGCTAAAATTGTAGATATTTCTTTTTATATATGTACACATACATATATACTCATAACCGATAGTTCCTATTTATAACTATGAATAAACATTTATAAATGCAGCTCACATTCCATCCCTTTTGAGCTTAACCTTCAAATGTCTTAATTCTACTGGCCTCAGAGGTGAACAACTGAAATCTCCGTTTCTCAGGTCAGACCGGAAGATTTGAGCTTGCAAAGCTCTGTTTATATCATTTGAATGTTAGCACTAACCATTAGCTAACATTTAGAAAAGTGATGCTAGCTTTGTAAAGTAGCATTCATTATCTTACTTCAGACGGCAAATCCTAGAAGTCACATGCTCGCATCAAAGAGCAGTGAAACAGACGTAATCCTAAACCTGCATGAACAGAAACACAGATTTCTCTGACTTAAATTAAATTCTAGAACCTTCTTAATTTCCATCAGGGAACCATTTAAAGTATTGTTTAGGTTTATTTATTTACATTGTTATGTGTATGAATGTTTTGCATCATTGTATGTGTCTGTTCCTCATGCATGCCTGGTGCCTGCAGAGTAGATGAAGTTTCACATGCTTGTGAGCCACCATGTGGGTGCTGAGAACTAAGTCTGAGCCCTCTACAAGAGCAACAGGTGCTCCTTTTTTAAAGATTTATTTATTTTATGTAAATGAGTACACTGTCGCTTACTTCAGACACACCAGAAGATGGCATCGGATCCCATTACAAATGGAAGCCATCATGTGATTGCTGAGAGTTGAACTCAGAACCTACCTCTGGAAGAAGAGTCAGTAAATGAGTGTTCTTAATCACTAAGCAATCTCTCCAACCACCAGGAACTATTCTTTAAAGGACCTTGAGAAAATAGACTTTGGAGACTGAAAGCCAGAATACTAAAAGAAAATATGACATAAATACAAAATAGTACTAATAATAATAATAATAATGATAACCAAGAACAAAACTAAACTTTCATTCCAGGAACATGACAACTATCTTAACAACTTAAATCATATGGAATAAAAGCTAAATTTTATTTAGGAAGAAAGATCAGGTCAGATGAGAACATTACAGGATAAAGATTTGAGATCTTTATGATGGAAATTTTCTAGTACCTTTGTCTTTAAATACAATAGAATGGGCTTCTTTATGAAGCAGTAAGCTTTCCATCACTAAATATGAAACTGACTGAATATTTACTTACCTGGAAGCTCTAACAGCCCTTTAGAAGTCTGTGGCTTGAATATTTTGTTCAGGTTCTTTCTTTGCTATGACGGGCACATACTGAAGAACTAATTGATATAAGATATATTGCTCTGCAACAATACCAACCAACCACAGTTCCCAGGGTCCTAACCACCAGCCTGGGAGCACTTATGGAGGGATTCATGGCTTCAGCTGTATATGTAAGAGTGGAGGGCCCTGCTGGGCACAGGTGGAAGATGAGATCCTTGACCTCATGAAGGCTGAACCCCCCAGAGGGTGGGAATTTTGAGGGTGGGGAAGTGGGAGTGGGGAGGGTAGGAGGGGGTTACATCCACGGAGAAGAAGGAGGAGGGGTAAGGGGATGGGGGTTCCCGGGTGGATGGGGGATGGGGTAAGGGGATAACATATGAAATGTAAATAAAATATCCAATAAAAAAAAAGAAAAAAAAAAGATATATTGCTCTGATACTACATATTATACCATTACTTGATACATATTCTTACCCATATTACATTTAGCATTTATATTACATTTAGTATATTGAGTATGTTGTGTATTTAATATGTTGTAATCATCTTTCATATGCTTTTTTGATTATAGTGAGGTGTTTGGTGCCCTCTGTAACTCACCCATCTTTTTCTTACCGGTAGAACTGCCTCCCAGGTAAACCAAGAGGATCTATGAATGCTCTTTCAAGAAGCATCTGCTGGTCATTCATAATTCTTACTGCAATAGGACTTGGAGAATAAGAAACACATCATTAAACCCTTTTCTAATAAGCCACCACAATTAAACTAAAATAAACATAAGGCATGGGAAGATAGATAAAATAGTAAACCATTAACAAAATTAATGTTCTGTGTTATAGAACAAGCGACATATAACAGCAAGGCCATCTCACTAGCATTTATACTAACCATAGAATGATACTGAAAAGTGATTTGTTTTGCTTTTCAAGGTCACAGAGGGGTGAAGTCAAAGATAACCGTTATTCCTCTGTACGATAACCAGACCTTCCAGAAAGACACAAAACTACCAAGTTATTTTTTATGAGTCACACAACCTCACCATGTCTGGGCTGAATAAAGAAAAAGAGTAAAGATAAGGGAAAAATTAAGAATAAATAAAAGTAACAACAAAAAAAATCAAGGTCTGGACATTAGAAAGGCAGAGGCAGCTTTGTGTGGTAACTAAGGGAGGTCCTTTCAAATTCACAGTCTGTATCCTGCTTTCTGGGTAGCTGAACTACATGTCTGAGCTCTCCTGTAATCCAAGGGAGAGGAAAGCCTCCTCAAATGACTGACAAGACTTTCTGATTGAGTCTGGAAAAAATACCTATATTTTGATATAATTTCTATTAATTGTATAACATTTTAATATAATTTTAAAATTATTTTCTACGTAAACATGGGAATAACAAAAAAATTTCATAAAAAAAGAACTATACAAAAGGAAATGGTTGATGAGTATATAGGAATACTGAGAAGGATTGTACAGAAATACATTCAAAAGCACCTGACCTCATAGAGTTATGAATAACCAAATGTGACTCTCATCCCAAATTCAACTTAAGTGGTAATGCAGTTGTCTACAGCATTATTAAAAAATATAACTGAGGGCCCTAGCCATGGAAAAACAGGCCATGAACTTGAGAATGAAGTGAGGGAAGGGGAAAACATAAGAGTTAGATGAGTAGTTGGAAATTATATATGAAACTCAAACAAGTTAAATTATAAAGGCAACTCTTAAGTATGTCCTGCTTCCTAACACGCTAGCAGTTGTGTGATGCTGGAATGGTGCAGACCATGGCTTAAGCAGCAATGACTTGGAGGAGTTCTACACATATGTTTGGGAAGATAGTCCATCCCTTTTTCAGTAGGGTACTTCATCTGGAACTTACTTATTAAGATCAACTTGTGTAAGTCTTCTGTGAAAGTCTGAAGCAGCCTCTGAAAAGTTTTTCACAGCAGAAAATAAGGGATCTTTAATAGAAAAAATAAAAGGAAAAAGTTAGTAGTTCACATTTTAGATGTACACATTCCTGCCCTCTCCGTATTAGGAGAGAACAAGCAGGGAAAGCAGTATTTCTGTGACCTTTCCTGTAAATTCATGAAAAGTATTGGGTGTGGGGGAGGAGAGGAAAGATGGGAATTTTAAAAGTAGTCCAATTGTGGAGTTTGTTTTTTTTTAGTGTGTGTGCGTGTCTGCATGTGCATGTGTGTGCATATGAAAATCTAGGTGCCCATGAAAATGACAAGAAAATGCAAGATCTCTTGGAGGTGAAGTTGCAGGTACTTAAGCTACACCCCACATGACTCTTCAGGTAGGAAGTCCTTTCCTACTGATAGATTGGAAAGGGCTCTTAACTACTCTCCAGACCTCCCCTAAATTGGTTCTTAAGAGAATTCTTTCAGAAGTATAGGGAAAAAAAATTCCTCAATTATTTACCTAAACCCCAGCATTCATTCATTGAATATATTTATTGGAACAATTATCTTAGCCACTGGAGATAGGGATAAAGTATTATCTCTGCAATTATTACAAGATTAAAACATACCAATTTGTATTTTCAAATAATACTGTATGCTTAAAATCTTGCTCACAGGGTGACTTTGTGAACTAGGCACAAAAACATCAGCTTTGATCTGGTCATACTTTTCTAAGATATCTAAAGTTTCTAAAGGGCTCAGTTTTCTTTAAAGGGCTGGCCACTGAGAGTTTGACCATGCTTCAGTGAATATATAGGGCTTTTTTTTTTCTTTTTTTGGGTGGAAGGGGGCAAAATAATCAAAAATATTATGTTGAAGAAATGTAATTAGATTCTTAATTACAGCAGCCTATCATGCATGTTTCATTAATTCTAAGTAGGACTTTGGCATACATGATTGATTTACTACTGCCCACATTTGTATCTGTTTTGTAGATAAAGTCCCTGTAGGTCGGGTCATAGGACTACTGTATCATCTGTCTAGGAGGAGGAACCTTCAATATAAATACATTCAGTGTTCTCAAAAAGTCTTTTAGTCCTCAACGTTTACAAGCTTTGTTTAAAACATGTTCAACTAATATAGTAATGGATATGATGGAAGCAAAGGAAGTGTATGTAGAAGAAAATTTTAAATTTCAAGTATAATACAAAAGCCAAGATGAAAACTGAAATATGTCAGTGGGGTTCAGTGACACTGAGTATCAGAGAGAAAATTTTTAGGGTACTAACAGTTGTATAGAGCACGGTGTATAGTTTAGTGGAAGATAAAGAACTACAAGTATAGAGTATGTTTTCATTCATTGAGCAGAAACATTCTTTATTCAAACATTCTTGACATGAATGGACAATTTCAATTGTGAAGAGAGCAGGGCACAGCAAGAGACAAATTCTGTGAGATATATGCCATTTGATGGATATTCAGCAGTAAAGATGTGGATGTTAAAACTGAAAGCCATCATGGTATGTACTCACTTTTAAATGGATATTAGCCATAAAATACAGGATACCCATAATACATGGCACAGACCCAAAAAAGCTAAAGAAGGAAGGCCCAGGTGTGGTAGCTTGAATCTCACTTAGAGGGGGTAGTAAAATAGTCATAAGAGGCAGATTGAAGGACAAAACTGGGTGGGAGACCATGGAGAGGGGAATGGGGGGGTTGTCAAGATCAGGTGTGAGGAAGGACAGTAGAAATGACAGATAGCCATGAGAATGATCACTGTTTCTGAAGGCTTATCAGGATGACCAAAATATCTGAGCCAACTTCCTTGTCCTAGACCAAAGTTATTTTCATGTCTGAAGCCTACTTCATTGATCTAGTCTACTTGTCTGAAATTACTTCTTTGTTCTAGCGTAAGATTTAGATTCCTGCCTAAAATTACTTCTTTGTTCTAGCCTTGCTTGTTCTTTACTATTTGTGTTTATCATTTTGCTTTTGCCTTAACTATTTGCATCTATTGCACTGCTAGTTCCTCAGCCTAGAACTGACCTTAATACTTGCATGGAATTAAAATGGTATAAAAACATGAAAAGGAGGAGGGGGGATGGGATAGGGGATTTCTAGGGAGAGGAAATGGGGGTAGGAAATGACATCTGAAATCTAAATAAATAAAATATCCAATTTAAAAAGGGAAAACACAAAAAAAGAGAAAAAAGTCAGAAAACAGAAAAAGAGTAGGAGAAAGAATAAGAAAGAAAAGAAAGAAAGGGGGAAAGAAAGAAAGAAAGAAAGAGAAAGAAAGAAAGAAAGAAAGAAAGAAAGAAAGAGAAAGAAAAGAAAGGAAAAAGGAAGAAAGGAAGTTAAGACATTCTAAATATCACAGATAATAAATGAAAGAGAGAATATCTGAATATTTGAGTCAATCCAACTCCTTCCAAATCCCATGTTTAATGCCACAGAACTGTGCTGTGTTTCATCCCTACTTTCTAAAAAACACGTTATTGATAGCCAGTTGTGAAAGGAAATACTGACTATATCTAAGCAAAACACCTTGATAGATGCAAATATTGATAAATATATTTGGCAATAATAAGACTTATGATTATAATTTTATTATGTAGGGGATAATAAAAGCAATAACATAGGAAAATATTTACATGACTTAATGTTTGTAGCACTATTTAATGAGTAATGGATTCACCATAGACATTTCATATTAATTCAGATCCCTAAGTCAGTATTTATTTAAGATTTTTGTCAAAAATAGTAAGTTACCATGGATCCCTTCTAGAATGCACTGACCATGATAGGAGCTAAAAAGGGTCTACATTAAAATTATAAAAACATCTTACCAAATGACACTCCATAGTTTCTCAGTTGCTGATCATGTTTCTTGGATAAGTTGAAGATACTTTCTGCATAGTTTTTCAAGGCTTTTGCATAGTCTGGAATGTTGAAAGGAATGACTACAGAGTCTGCAAGCTCATAAACCAATGCTCCTCGTAACTGAGCCACAGAAAGGTGCTTTTTAAATGTGGGGTCATAAAAGTTCTGTACTAATTCAAACGTCTCATAGATGGTATGGTATACAGGATAGCTACTGTATTTATCTGTTTTCTAAAATGGAGGAAAAATTGAGAAATAAACAAGAATTAAATGTTTAGTTTATAATATTTTAATCATAGAAATGATTTAAAAATATATATGACGGCACTGATTTCACCAATTTAACAAATTTAAAATCTAAACAGAGTCAAAATGCTCACTGATTTATAATTTTACATTTCTGTCTTTAATTTATAATATATGTAACCATCATTCAACCTTTTTGTCTTAATAAATAAATATGTATTCAAACTAGAACAATCAAAATTATGAACTGATCAAGGGTATAAAAAGTAATGGGTAACTTAGTGTTTATGAAGCTCAAAGGTAATTCATTCTTTTTCTAACCAAATATTGTTCAGTCAATGCTGTTAGCTCTTGATAACATTTTAGAAGGCAACAGTGGGAATATATGGAAGGGCAACTGATAAACACAAAACTCCAGGATAGCATGTTCCTCAAACAAAACATTTCCTCTAAGAGGGAAAAAACAAAATAAAGTAAAACAACAACAGCAACATAAACATAAGGCCTGGAGAGATAGCTCAGCAGTAAAGCACACTGACTGCTCTTCTAGAGGTCCTGAGTTCAGTTCCCAGCAACCACATGGTGGCTCTGATGCCCTCTTCTGGTATGTCTGAAGATAGATACACTGTACTTTATATATTTTATTTCATAAAATAAGTAAATAAATCTTAAAAAAAATATAAGATCTACATAATTAGACTGCAATATAAGCTTTTATTTACTTATTTTTAAGTTAGAGTCTAGCCCTATGTGACCAAGGATGATGTTGAATTTCTGTTCGACATTGGTTTCAATCCAAGTACTTAGAATTCAGGGATGCCCTAACATATTTATTTCATTTTAGGGAATGGAACCCAGGGCTTCATGCATCCTAGACAAGCACTCTACCAATTGAGCTATATCCCGAGAACAAAATAAGATTTTTCCAACAAATTCTGTTTGGAGAAAAGGGTATAAATGGTTAGCATGTATGACCAGCTACAAATCTGGCATTTCTACATGAATTATCATTTCACTAGAAAACTTTAGTAGTATTGCATTCACAGAACAGTCCACACCCCTTCGTAGTGCATCTACATGGGAGCAGGAGCAAGAAGGCTATCTGTATGCCTGGAATTCTTGGACCTGCATCCACCTATTGCCTGATGCCATACAATTCAATTACAGGGTTTTTTTTTTTTTTTTTTTTTTTTGTTTTTTTTTTAGGGGGGTTTTTGTGTTTCTCCGGGTCCGAGAAAAAACTCTGTAGACCAGGCTAGCCTCGAACTCTTGAACTCAGAAATCTGCCTGCCTCTGCCTCCCAAGTGCTGGGATTAAAGGCGTGCACCACCACTGCCCGGCTCAATTACAGTTCATATTAGTAAAATGTTGCTATGATTTACATATGAAATATCTGCACAGCTCATACCCTCCAAAAGAAACTTGTGAGTTCAAGTATTCCCAGTGTGAAACTCTTTAAAGGTTTATTTAAAGGAAAATGGGTGGAGCTTGAGATCATCATGTTAAACAAAATAAACCATACAGAGAATAATAAGTATAGAATGTTTTCTCTATATACAGACATCTAAATGTAAAGCAAAAAGCATGAAAGTAGATGGAGGACAGGAGGATTATGAGGGGGTGAAGGAAGTACAAGGGGAGAAAAGCATCATTACAGTTCCATATATATAGATATAGATGTGTGTGTGTGTGTGTGTGTGTGTGTGTGTGTGTGTGTATGAAAATGTCATAATGAAACCCACTATTTCATAGTTAAAATGAAGTGTCCTCAGAAAGGGGTATTGGGGAAATGCCCTTGAAGAGTAAGTGCTAATCCAGCCCCTTCTAATCTCTCTTGGCTTTCTGTCTGCTCTAAGGTAAGCAGCTTTCCTCACTATATCTGCCCACCATGATGTGCTGACTCACCACACTCCCACAAGTACTAGGACAAACACTATAGACTGAGACCATTGAAACCATGAACACAAACAATGTTTTATGAGATGATTATTTCAGATATCTTGTTAAAATAATGAAGAGTGAACACATGTACTGCATATTAGAAAAGATTAAATGGCTTACCTTGTTCTTAGTGTAGCGAGCTCTGCCTGAAGCAATTCCAAGTCTTTGAAAGTAAGCCTCAAAATCACTCCCAGATCCCAGCTTATTGATTCTAGGTATAAAATATGGATAAGTAACTGTATGTTCATAAAATAATAATACCAATCAAACAAATGGGAAAATGAGTTCTGTTTTAAGAGTAGCTTATAATTTTCATAGCAAATTATTATAGGGATAAGTAAAAGCTAAGCAATCTTGAAGATATTCTATCATTTACTAGAATATTAATGGGACAAGCTACACTGAATATGACCAGAGTTTAGCAGTACTGTGAAACACTGCAACCTAATATTTTTAATGAACAGAAAGGTTCAAACCACTTAATGAGCCATTTTCATAGTCCACCTCAAGCTGTTTAAAAAAAGAATCTATTATTTTCTGCTAAATAAGCATATGAAACTTTTACAATGGAACAAACACATTTAAAGTTTTATAAGACTGATTTAGAGACCAGCAAGATGGCTTAGAGGATAATGACGCTTGACAATAAGTCTGAGTTTGATCTTGGGACCCATATAATAGAAGGAGGGAAACAAAGACAAGTTGTTCTCTGACCTCCACACAAATGTATGAAAGTATACAAATAAGTCATTTAATGATGCCCAATAATTTGGAAAAAAGCAAACAAGTCAGCAGCAAGAAATAAAACCAGAACAGAAAGTAATGAGGTAAGAGAAGGAAGGAAGGAAGGAAGGAAGGAAGGAAGGAAGGAAGGAAGGAAGGAAGGAAGGAAGGAAGGGAAAAAGGAAGGAAGGAAGGAAGGGAGGAAAGAAAGAACAAGAAAGAAAGAAAAGGAAGGAGGGATGGAGGGAGAGAGAGAGAGAGAGAGAGAAAGGAAGAAAGAGGAAATAATTGGTGAAATTGACGAGCTGACCGTTTGAGAAGATAAACAAGATCAACAGACTCTTGGCCCTATTAACTCCCCCTCCCCCAAAAAAGAAAAAAAAACAGAACTAAATTAACAGAAATCAGAAATGAACAGTGCTACATTAAAACAGACATCAAAAAATCAGAATATTACATGGGAAAAATTTAATAGCTTATACTCCAGTAATTTGGAAAACCTAAAAGAAATGGATACATTTCTGTATTCATCTAAATCACCAAAATTATGCCAGTAAGAGATGGATAAGTTAAAGAGACCATAACAAATAAGGATTTTGAAATAGGTATAAAAAAGACCACCAACTATAAGAAGTCCTTGGCAAAATGGATTCACAACAAAATTCTGTAAGAATGTCAAAGAAGATCTTAACTATTCTATAAAATCAAACCAGAAAAAGTGTTCCCAAACTTCTTCCATGAAGCCAGTATCACTCTAATACCCAAATCAAATAAGGATGTAACAGAAAAGCCAATACTCCCTGATGACGTAAGAGTTGATAAAATGTGTGTTAAACAAGTTCAAATATGCATCAAAAATGTTATCCATTATGACCAAGTTGGCTCTGTCTCTGAGATGCAGAGATGGTTCAACATACAAAGTTAAAATATGTTATAAGGCAAAGGAATTTACATAAAAAATAAAAATCATATGATCATTTCAATAGATACAGAAAACCCAGCATGGTTTCTTTGCCAAAATCCAACATGCCTTGATGATAAAACTCAGAGTGAGTGGGACTGGAGAGAACAAATCTCAAATAATAAGAGATATATATGAGAATCCCACAACCAACATCATTCTAAATGGAGAAAAATTTGAAGCAATCCCAGGAATATCTGCTGTCCCTACTTCTTTTCAATATTGTGTTAGAAGTTTGAGCTGGCATTATAATGGACGAGACGGGAATTAAGGGTACACAATAGGAACAAAGTCAAAGTATCCCTTTTAGAAGATGAGATAATATGATATCTAGAGATCCCTATAATTCGACCAGAAAACTTGTAGGAATTTTACACAGTTTCAGGAATGTGACAGGATACAGTACAGAAAACTATACATGATAAACAGGGGAGCCCCGTCCAAACTAATATATTAACAATACAACCTCTGAACCTAAGGCTCAAGGATCATTGTGGAAAAGGCAATAGGAAGGTTTTTTTTTTTTTAATTTTTATTGGATGTTTTATTTACATTTCCTATGTTGTCACCTTACCCCGTCCCCCACCCACCCAGGAACCCCCAATCCCCTCACCCCTCCTCCTTCTTCTCTGTGGATGTAACCTCTATCTACCTCCAAATCCCACCTCCACACCCTCAAAATTCCCACCCCCTGGGGCATCCAGCCTTCATGAGGTCAAGGTTCTCTTCTTCCACCTATGCCCAGCAGGGCCCGCCACTCTTACATATTCAACTGATCCCTCCCTAAGTGCTCCCAGGCTGGTGGTTTAGACCCTGGGAGCTGTGGTTGGTTGGTATTGTGGCTCTCCTCATGGTGCTGCAAATCCTTTCAGCTCTCCTTTAGTCTTCACTCTAACTCCTCTATTGAGAACCCCATGATCAGTTCAATGGCTAGTTGTGAGCATCTGCCTCTGAGTATGTCAGACTCTTGAAGACCTCTGAGGAGATATCCATATCAGGCTCTTATCAGCATACACTTCCTGACTTCCACATCAGCATCTACCTTTGGTGATTGCACATGGGATAGATACTCAGGTGGAGTGGTCTTGAGACGGCCCCTCCTTCAGTTTCTGTCCCTCACTTTGACTCCATATTTGCTCCCTTGAGTATTTTGTTGCTCCTTCTAAGAAGGACCGAATCACCCCCACTTGGTCTTCCTTCTTTATGGGCTTCATGTGGCCTGTGAGTTGCATCTTGGACATTTCAAGGTTCTGTGCTAATATCCAATAATCAGTGAGTGAATACCATGTGTGTTCTTTTGTGATTGGCTTACCTCACTCAGGATGATAATTTCTAGTTCCATCCATTTACCTAGGAACCTCTCGAATTCATTGTTTTTAATAGCTGAGTAATGCTCCATTGTGTAAATATACCACATTTTTTGAATTGATTCCTCAGTTGAAGGACATCTGGGTTTTTTCCAGCTCCTGGCTATTATAAACAAGGCTGCTATGAACATAGTTGAGCATATGTCCTTGTTATATGTTCAAGCATCTTCTGGGTATATGCCTAGGAGTGGTATAGCTGGATCCTCAGGTAATGCTATGTCCAATTTTCTGAGGAATCGCCAGACTGATTTCCAAAGTGGTTGCACCATCTTGCAGTCCCACCAACAATGGAGGAGTGTTCCTCTTTCTCCACACCCTCGCCAGCATCTACTATCACCTGAGTTTTTAATCTTAGCCATTCTGACTGGTGTGAGATGGAATCTCAGGGTTGTTTTGATTTGCATTTTTCTGACGACTAAGGATGCTGAACATTTCTTTAGGTGCTTCTCGGCCATTCGAGTTTCTTCCGTTGAAAATTCTTTGTTAAGCTCTATACCCCATTTTTTAATAGAGTAATTTGGTTGCCTGGAGTCTAATTTCTTGAGTTCTTTGTATATATTGGATATTAGCCCTCTATCAGATGAAGGATTGATAAAGATCTTTTCCCAATTTGTTGGTTGTTGTTTTGTCTTATTGACAGTGTCCTTTGCCTTACAGAAACTTTGCAATTTTATGAAGTCCCATTTGTCAATTCTTGATCTTAGAGCATATGCCATTGGAGTTCTGTTCATGAACTTTTCCCCTGTGCCCAAGTATTCGAGGCTCTTCCCCACCTTCTCTTCTATTAGTTTCAGTGTATCTGGTTATACACTGAAACTGATAGGAAGGTTTTAAGATCAGAAAATCTATTCCCAGGAAGTCTCACCAACATGGCTGCCTAAACAAGGAAAACACCTATAGATATGCTAATATGGGAAGGAGAAAAGAGTCAGAGGATTAACAAGCAAAAACCTCCAGACAACTAAGAAATGATGAGAGCACAAGGAATAGTCTTCTCCTAAGAAACAGCACACCAACTGGTTATTCAGAACCAAATTGTCAGCCCGGAAATCATAAACAACTAACATTGCACAGACTAAGTTGTATCCATACATTTAGGAGTATACACACTGAATTTGTGCACATCTACAGACAGATATATATGTAACATCAATTAAAGAAAAAGAGACCGTGGATTTGAAAGAGTACATGGGAAAGGTTGGATGAAAGAAAGGAAAGGGGAAAATGGAGTAATTATAGTCTCAAAAAATAGTAAAATATAATTTAAAAGTATATATAATTAAAAATAAAAAAGTAAAATAATATTTTAAAGAAGACTTTAGAAAACAGAATGAAGTCATAAACTACTACCACTTCTCACTAATCTTAGGAATTTCCAATTCTAGTTTTAGAAGTCATACTGTAATAAAAATGGATAAATTTATAATAAATTCAAAAAGTTACTACAGCATGAATGACAAAAGGTAAAAATAAATAAAAATCTAAACTGATTACAGAAAAGCACACAAATAGTTGATTATTGATAATGTTCCTTTATTAAATATAAAATAAGAATGCAGGGGTCTAGAGAGATGACTCAGTGGGCAAAGTGCTTACTATGCCAGCGTGAGGACCTTGCTATGCCAGCGTGAGGACCTTGGATTACGATCACATAAAAGCCAGTCTGAGCCACTCACATCTCAAACCCCAGCGTTGTGGGTCGGGGGCAGAGACAACCAGACAGTTTTGCTGGGTGCTCTATGAATGAATGATCAATGAATGACCTACCATGAAAGAGTGAAAATGAATAAGGTGGAGAGGCTGGAGAGGTGGCTGAGTGAGTAAGAACACATACAGATCGTCCAGAGGACGTGAGTTCAGTTCTCAGGAATCACATCAGGTGGCTCAAAACTGGATGTAAATTCCTGTTTTAGTTTATCCAACTCATTTGACCTCCAAGGGCACGTGCATATACCCACACAGATCACATATACACATATAATAAAAACAATAAAATCTTTTTATAAAAGGAAAAATTAAGGTTGGAAATCAATGGAGAAAAATTTCCAGCCACCAACATACACATAAAGACACCACGTGCACATACACACACACACACACACACACACATACACACACGCATATGCATATCCAAACCATATATTTAATTAAAACAATATATTTAATTTTTACATTATTATCACACAAAGTTATACTATTACTTAAAGTGTCTACTGCACATCTGAAATTAAAGTTACATAAATGCCAGATAATAACTAGTATATAGCAAAATCAGCATATGATTCGTCTTATTTTTATACTCATATGTGTATGTCTGTATCTATGTACCATGATGTTCAGATGCCCACAGAAGCCAGAAGAGGCCGTTGGATCCCCTGGGTGCTGGGAACTGAACTTGGGTCTTCTAGTAGGGCAGCAAGCATTCTCAATTGCTGAGCCATGTCTCAAGCCCCCACATCATCAGTTTAATTGAAAATGTCCAAAAACTATATTTATTTGTGTTACTATATTTATTTGATGTACACTGTACATCAAAAGAACATGTCTGAAGCCAGATGGGTACAGTGACACAAAACTTTAATCCCAGTACTTGAGAGGCAGAAGCAGGCAGATCTCTATGAATTCAAGGCCCAGGGCACCCAGGCCTCTGTTACATAGAGAAATCCTGTTTTGAAAAAAGCAAAACAAAACCAAAATAACAATTTCAAATGTATCTGAAATGATTAGTAAGCAAAACAGCAGCTGACTGGACAGCTTTATTAAATATATTTAAATTATTAATGAGCCATCTGAGAATTGCATGTTTAGAGAAGCAAGGGGAAAGGGGAATCCTTATTTTACCCCAGGGTAGAAAAGCTGCCTACATTAATTTACCTAGGACATTCTTTATTTTCAGGTGAAGGGTCTTTTTCCAGCCAGCTTTCATAAAGTGATTTACCTTCAAAACCATCATCAGGACTGGAGATCTAGAAAAACAATCAGTGGGCATCAGGATTTGAAGCAACTATATAACCAATATAATCCCATGTGCACATTAGTATCAACTTTTATTGCTGTTTGTGCATACATATCATGTTCTATTATACAAAAATATATTTTGCAACTGATAAGAAAAAAAACTAGCCCAAACACTTCATTTATGATGGCTGTTGTTGGTAACTTTGACAATTACTTAAAAAGGAATTTCATTTTTTTTAACATTTTAAATAAAAGTTTTAAGTTGTTCCAGATAAAGATAGTGGAGAAAATGTACATTTTTAAAAAAATAAATTTCTTTTATCCAACCAGACAAACTCTACCTTTGCTAGAAAGTAAGTCAGTAGTAGTAGTATTTAGAGTTTTAAATTATGCTTATGCAAAGCTGCATTTTTTTAATGTGAGGAAAGGGAGAACCTTATACACTAGTACAGTTATATACTTATACACTATAGGTGTGGAATTTTCTCAAAATCAAAATTAAATCTGCATATGACTCAGCTATATTATACATATGTTTGCACATATGCCCAAACACCTAACAATAAAGATACTTATACATTTGTGTTCATTGCTGCCCTCTTCACAGTAGCTAGAGATGGAACCAAAGTAGATGCCCTTCAACTTATAATTCAGGCAATGAAATAAATAATAAAGTAAGTAATGAAATAATAAAGTTGATAATGAAGTAAAAAAAAATTAAATGAAAATGTGAGAGATATAATTCCATTTAGCACCAAAGAAAAGTGAAATTTGTAGGAAAGTGGACAGAATTGGGGAAAAAACTAGTCTAAGTGAGGTAATCTAGGCGTAGAAAGCCAAATACCATGTGTTCTTTATTATATATGTAACATACCTTTGAATTTAATTTTGATTTAACTTAGAATGTCTATAGAGACTAGAAAAATATAAAGGGGTACTAAGGGTTAGAGCAGAGTTCTAATGGTGGATAGATAGTAGAACTCACGTGAAATGCGAATGGAAGGGGACATAATAGGATGAGGAGGGTTAATGATGATGTAAGGACACATGCAGAAACCTATTATTCTATTACATAATTTTTTAAAAAATAGCTTTTTTAATGCAAAAAGTTTATGAGTGAGGTGAGACATCTCAACAACCAAAGGTACTTGCCCCCAAGTCTGACAGATGAATGTAGTCCCCAGAGCCCAAGTGGTGGAAGGAGAGAATGGATTACTGCAGATCTCACACACACACATAAACACACACACACATGGATATATATATACACATGCGTGTGCATACACAAATGCACATGCACATACACGCAGTATTTTTTTTAAGAATATGGCTGAGGAATGGCTTGGCAGTTAAGAAGCAATTGCTTCTCTTGCAAAGGACCCAGTTTCAATTCCCAAGACCCACTTGGTGGTTCACAGCATTCAATAACACCAATTCCAAGGGATTTGATAAGCTCATCAGGCCTCTGTGGGCATTGCATGAGCATGGTGTATATACAGGCATTCAAACAAAACACTCATACACATAAAAATAAATCGTCAAAGAGTTTGAATGGAGATACCTTATATAAACAAGTGGATAATGCCAACAACTCCAGAGACCAACATAATCAAAAATCTCAGAGTTGAGAAGAGAGATGAACACAAGCTTCCATCCCTAACAGAGAAGCTATCTCCAGTTCATATCCACTTACAAACGAAAATTAGTTTTCTCCACTGGTGTTTCAGTGCATATATTAAACAACTTAAGGTAGGCCTGATGCTCAGCAGTACATGGTTAACTCAAAACAAATTCAATTGTATTTTTGTAGTTTTTTTCTCTCATATTGCATTTTTGGAAATTTTTTTGATCTTATTAGTTTTTCTTATATATTGTGGTTTCTGATTTTGTGGTTTTGTAGGTTTGGTTTGTGTGTGCATGTTTCTTGTGCTTTTTCTTTGATTTTTTTTTTCTGTTTTGGTTTGCTCTATTTGTTTGCTTGCTTGTTTTTGGTTTGGGGTTGGGGTTTGGAGGGTTTTGGATTTTTTTTGTTATTTTGTTGGTTAGTTTTTGTCTTAATTTGTTTTTTGTAGTTGTTGTTTTGTTTTTGTTATTTTTTGAGAGCAAGAGAGAGATAGGTAAGGAAAGAGAGAACAAAGGCGTAGAGTTGGGAGGATCTGAGAGTGGTTTGGAACAGAAAAATTGTGACCAAAATAAATTCCATGAAAAAAATTCATTTAAAAGAAAGGAAGAAGAGCTGGGCAATAGTGGGGCACACCTTTAATCCCAGCACTTGGGAGGCAGAGGCAGAGGCAGGCAGATTTCTGAGTTCGAGGCCAGCCTGGTCTACAGAGTGAGTTCTAGGACAGTCAGGGCTACACAGAGAAACTCTGTCTCGAAAAACAACAACAAAAAAAAAAAAAAGAAAGAAAAAAAACGAAAAACAGAAAGAAAAAAGAAAGAAGAAAGAAAATCCCAGTCGAGAGTGGGATGCCTTACTATGAGTTTTTGGTCGAGAAAGCTCAAGAAGCCTCCACCACTCCCAGCAATATAGGTTATTAGTGTCACTTTAAGTTGATATATTAGTTACTCTCCTATTACTCTGATAAAGCATCATGAGCAAGCCAATTAATAGTAAAAAAAAAAAAAAGCTTATTTGGACTTACAGTTTCAGATTAAGAGACTATTATGGTACAGCATTGCAGCTGGAGCAGAAGCTGAGGAGTCATATCCTGAACAGCGAGCAGGAAACAGAGAAAGCAATCTAAGAGTAGGGCAAAACCTTAAAGCCCCTAAGCTGACCACCAGTAATATACCTCCTCCAGAAAAGCCACACCTCCTAACCCCCCACCTCCCAATCAGTGCCATCAAATGGGAACCAAGTATTCAAATGCCAAAAACTATGAGAAATATTTCTCATCCAAACCAACAAGGCTGACCACCAGAAAAAAAAAGAATGGGGAAACCTACTTCTGACACCACCACTCCTCTTGGTAGTAGGACATAAAGTAAAATTATCCATAGTCTTATGTAACTGTGAACCCTGAAAGGTTCAGCGTTAACTTTAACCCACTGGACAAGATTTCCACAGCAGTGCAATAGTGACATTGTGGTATAGGGGTAAAAGTTCTCTGAATGCACTTGAGGCCTATTCCCACAGGTTGGTAAATGGATGATTGGTATGGTAAGTGTTGTCAAACCTGTGATTTCTTTTGCTAATTTGACATAGTGTCAAACTACTTTCTAAAATTTTATGTCTATACCCATAGACAAATGCTACTTTAAACCTTGATCAGAAAAGCTTCTCTCGGCAGGAAATGACAGGGAATACAGAGGTTTATGGCTGCCTACAGTTCTGAGGATAAGTGACTGTGAAGTCCTCATCCTACAACAGGATATTAATACTCCCACTCCAAGATTCCAGCAACATTGTGCAAAATGGTACAGAATCAATATAAGGGCTGATTATAAGGAGAATGGATCCGTGCTGGCTAATTTTATGTCAACTTGATGTAAGCTAGAGTCATAGGACAGGAGGGAACCCCAATTGTGAAAATATCTTCATGAGACTGGGCTATAAGCAAGCCTGAAGAGAATTTTCTTAATTAGTGATAGAAATTCAAGGCCCAACCTATCATAGGAGGAGCCACCCCTGGGCTGGTGATCCTAGGTTCCATAAGAAAGCAAGTTGAGCAAGCCATGGGGAGCATTTGAGTAAACAGCATCCCTCCCTGGCCTCTTAATTAGCTCCTACCTTCAGGTTTCTCCCTTATTTGAGTTCTTGTCCTGACTTCCTTTGAGGATGAAAAGTGATTTGGAAGTATAAACCCTTTCCTCCCCAACTTGCTTTTTGATCATGGTGTTTTTTTTTTTTTTTCACAGCAACAGAAGTCCTTATTAAGACAGAATTCAAAATGCTATTTCTTTTGTATGACAAGTTGTAGCATGAACTTAGAATGACCTTATTTGCAGTTGACTCTAGTAGGGCCTGTATAAGACTAGGACTATCAGTAGTCAATCAAAGTTATTCATGTATGCAGAAAGAAGAAGATTCATTATCTTTATTTCTGTACCTATTGGTAAGCCCAGCAAGCTCTAGTGGCTACTACCAAAACAATGGTGATGTTTAAACTCTTGGTTAAAAATCCAAAAAGACAAAAAGTAAGAAAAGAGAAGAAGGCTGATGGGGTGGGCAGAAGGATAGGTGTCCTCTTCATTTTCTAGAGTCATTATGTCCAGTCTACCACTGGCTCATGACCCATCCTTGTGGCTATGAGCCATGATCAATGTGAACTACTTCCACCAGATGCACTATCAGCATTAGTAGGATTGTTCTCCATTTCTGGCTGAGTCAGCCAACTGCTTTTCTTTACCCTTCTGGTGTCATCTTGATTATTTGACTTAGTAGGAGTGGTGGTTTGAATGAGAATACCTCCAAAGGCTCATATATTTCAATGCTTGGTCCCCAGTTGGTGGAACTGTTTAAGGAGGAGGTCTGCCCTTGTATGAGGAGGTGTCTCATCAGGGGTGGACTTTAAGGTTTAAAAGGCTATGCCTCTGCCTTGAACATGCAGTGTTCCCTCTGCCTTGTACATGCAGGTAAGTATGCTCAGCTACTGCTTCAGTGTTTGCCTGCCTGCCTGTCTGCTGCCATGCTCTGTACCATGATGGTTACAGACTCACCCTCTGAAACTGTCAGCCCCCAGGAAATACTTTCTTCTCTAAGTTTCTTGGGTCATGGTGTCTCTTTATGCAATAGAAAAGTAACTAAGACGAGATCTGGCGCCTTCAGCGTGGTGGATGCCCCGGTGTGGGGAAATTTGAGGGTGGGGAGGAGTGAATGGGTGGGTGGGTGGGTGGGGATACATCCTCGTAGAAGCAGGAAGAAGGGGGATGGAATAGGGGGTTTCTGGGTGGTGGTGGGGAAATGGGTAAAGGGGATAACATCTGAAATGTAAATAAAATATCCAACAAAAAAAATCAAAAAAAAAGGAAAAGTAACTAAGATACAAGGTGTGGAAGAAATTGGTTTACAGGATGGTGGAAGAGCCACATTAGTTTCCAGGGTCGTTGTATGGCCATAGATATTAACTTAATGCCATTGCACAAGGTTCACAAATAAAAACTTCTACTTACTGATTCCATAGTTTTTATCACCCTTGACATCAAAGACAGGAGCCATTTTTTTCTAATGTAGTACAGATCATATACACATAATCTGAAGTAATACACCCTAAATATTCCCTTTACACTTGCTTTCAGGAAAGATACTATTATGAGGCCTTCCTATAAAAGAACAAGGAAATAAGTTTAAACGAAAGAGTAAGGATACCATCAAGAGGGAAAAGATAGCACATTTGTTTGAAAAAAAAAAAAAGCCTGCTTTTAGAGATATTAGCAGTAAAGAGGAAGGTAGGGGTAGGGTACGATTAAAGATGTTAGAAAATAGAACCTCCAGTAAAATGGCACTTCTCATTAAGGCTGATCTTAAAAGTTATGTTCTTTTGTTTTAAATATTCATGTTATTTTTATTGATGTGCAGTGTTTTGGTTGGTTCCTCTCTCTCTCTCTCTCTCTCTCTCTCTCTCTCTCTCTTTCCCCCTTTCTCTCCCTCCCCCCTCTGTGTGTGTGTGTGTGTGTGTGTGTGTGTGTGTGTGTGTGTAAGCACCATGTGTGTTAAGGTGTCTATGGAAGTACAAAAATGTCAAATCCTTTTGGGCTGAAGTTACAGGCAATTGTGGGTACTGGAAAACCAAACTCAAGTCCTCTGAAACATCAGAAGGTGCTCTAAACCACTGAACTCCTCTCTGACACCTCTGTAAGTAACCTCTATACAGTAGAACTACTCAAATAGAGAGTACACATAGTGTAAGTACATTTTCAGATTATATTTTGAGATTCAACGTGCTTTAATTCTCAAGAGCATTTAATATATGATTGATTTCATGTGTAGAGGGTTTCTGTGTAATCACCAGTTGTAGACATCCTCCCTTTTGCCTTTTGCCTAACTAATATCCATTCTACTCACTATCTTGACACACAGTGAACTGTCTGGTGATAAAGCCCAATGATTTCTACATTGACCATTTCCTAACTTCCTTGACTGACTTACTACTTATTTCTTACCATCTTCACAATGACAACACGAAGTTGTTTATTACAAATTTTTTCTCAAAATTTAGTAAGTTGCTACTTAATTGCATTATTAATTTCCTGATATCAATTTAAAAATAAATGTAACTAATGAAGACAGAGGTGCTATCCATTCCTCATAAAATAATGAAGCCAGGTGTTATCACTTACCTCTCTTGCCACTTTATACACCAGCTGGTGGAGAAGAGGCGTACAGTCGACTCGGAGAGTGTAATTACCTAAAGAATATTTCAACACAAAAGTAGTATGTCAGCAACGAAATGAAACACATTTATGTGTAATTACAACTTCCTATTTCAAATATAATGTAACAGTTTTTAATTGAAAATCCTCCTGGGGAATGAGGGAGGCTGCAGCACATTGTTTAAACTGGTAATGAAATGGTGGACTCTGGTGGCTGAGGTTGTAGCTCCCACAGCCAGCAGCCAATTTTCCTTGTAGCAACATTTCTCAGGGGACAATGTGAAAGAAAGCATTAAGACTAGAGAACTCATTCTTCATTCTTTCCTTCAAATCAGTAATTTATATCAATATATTAGATATGTATGTTCTAACAGCTTCGGGGTAAACAAAACTGCACTGAAAATCTGGAGGTAAATACAATGTGTCAATTCAAAAGCAGTTCCAATAAATAGGGGAAATACTATTTTAATTTTCAAGAAAATGTTTTATGAAGAAAATAATTTCTGTATAATATTTTCTGCAGAATATTTCTTTTGAAATGTTTCAGCCAAATTTCTCTAATTCTTCCACAAGAAAAGTGTGGTGGATACTTTAAATAGCCATCCAGGACAAGCAAATATAAACTAAAAATAGAGCAAGAAAACTAGAAGTCAGAGATCAGTTGTAAATCCTAATGATTAGTATGAATTATTTTTTCTATAGTAAAATTAAACACTAAGTTGTTACTGAATAGTCTTGTCTAAACAAAAGATTTGAGATATATTATTTGAATTTATATACTTAAAAAACAGTAAATCAAAAAAGCTTTCCAGGCACTCTGGTGCACTCCTATATTCCTAGTGCTTAGGAGATAGAAGTGGGATGATAGGCCATTCAAGGTCATGGCCATCAGCATCTGAGACCATCTGTGAGACTCTGGTCTCAAGACAGGAAAAAAGAAGACCAAAGAAACAAAAAGTACACTAACTAGAAATGAATTACTGAGAATGGAACTTACTTTTTAAACACTGTATTTGACAATGAAAGTAGATGTACCTTCTATAGCTGAATCTGAGTTGACGTAAGCAATGCTTCTCTCCTGTAGGATCTTTGCATTCTCCTACAGTTGAAGCAAAGTTGTTAGTTCACAGTATACTATGAACATATAAACACAGTAATGACAACAATCTCCTGGAAAAATGTCTTACTGATGTTTATAAGTCAAATACAGCATCTCCCCACAACCACAAGTTTAAAGAAAAATTTAAAAACTGCTTAATTGGGTTGGGAATTTAGCTCAGTGGTAGAGCGCTTGCCAAGCAAGCTCGAAGCCCTGGGTTCGATCCTCAGCTCTGAAAAAAAAAAATAACTGCTTAATTGATGATAGCAATAAAATTACAAAGAAAATGAGAATATTATGAAGCCATGTACTAAAAGCAAAAGGCCCAACAAAAATATTGTCAGGTGTAATTCCATGATTCTCTATATTTGAATATGCTAAAATTGGGGTCTAAGATTTGGTTGCCCTACACAAAATCTGCCAAATTTGAACTGTTAGAAGTGAGGGCTGAAATCTGTTTTCTAACAAATGTTCCTAGAGATTGATCCTTATATCTACTGAAGTTTGAGATCCACTAAGTAAATTCCTAAGTAGTAGTATAAGGTTGAAAAATATAAAAATCTATTTGTATATTTTTATAAAAATCTATAGAGAAGCAAAAGAATAAAATAAAAAGTAAAATACCCTGGTCTGAACAACCAGCACCAGCACTCATCTTTTTCGGCTTCCTGCCTGTGGATATAATATCATCTGTTGCTTCATAGAGCAATTGCAATGGCAATTGCTGCTTTCCTAGTATGATGGACTGACTGTACCTTGGAACTATGAGCAGAATAAACCATTTCTACCTAAAGTTGCTTTTCTCAGGCAAAGTGTTCCAACAACAACAAAAAAAAAACAATTAATAGAGTTGCCTTGATTATAATCAAAGTCTCTATTACAGAATTTGTAGGGTCTCACCGTGTACCTGTGGCTGGACTAGAATGCATATAAACTTGGCTGGCCTCAAATTTAGAGACTTTTCTGCTTCTGCTGCCTGAGTGCAGGGACTAAGGTGAGCATCACCATACATAAGAACTTAGGTTCTTACAGAAGTTAAATGTGTTGTTGAATATAAAAACCTGTCTTACTAGGAAGAATGTTGTAATGATTTCTAAACCAATATGTTTACCAATGCAAATTTACTATCATAAATCTTAGATTTCTTTGATTATTATTTTAAATTTCAGAAATCAAAGGAAAATTTATATACATATATATTACAAGAAAACACACATTCTAAAAGAATTACCATGACCAATGATATTTGATCATTCTAAATTAATGTTCTACTGTCAGATTGTATATTTATAATACTAGTATCAAAATTAAACTTTACAATGTGTATGAATTAACAAAGTTAAGTAATATCAGATAAGTATTAACTATATGCAATTTTGCTTCATATTATTGGTTTACAGTAATGTAAGGAAAAAGGAGTCAGGAGAAAGGCATTTTTAAAACTATTCACAGATATGCATACTTTATTTTAGAACACATGAACAAAACTTATGCTTATGTGATAAACAGATGATAGAAAAAGAAAATATCACAAGCCATACCTAACTTTATGAAAATGTATGTGCTCACTTTAGACACTTTAGTAAAAACTTAGATATTACCAACAAAGGAGAACTGGAAAGAAGAAAGAAGGTGCCTAGGAGAGGCTCTTTAATAGTTAAGAGCCTGTAAGAAATAAAAAAAGACAACTGTATGAAATACTACACTAAGCTACTCTATTAAAGTGATTTAATTTACAGTATTATCATTTTATAATTAACAATCAGAGCACATAACAGTTATGAAAGGCAAGACAAATTAACAGCTTGCAAGTTCACATTATTTTATGAGTTTACTAATTTTATTTCACAACACAACTACAGAAAAAAAATTTAATGAATAGTGTTAACCTAAAAAATGACCCTGCTTTGCCAAACGAACATGACAGTAAAAAAATTCTATGTATTTGTGAATTTAACTTGAGTCATTCTCTATTAGGTAAGAGAATCTATAAGTGCCTTCCATGCTACTTACTTCAGCCCATTCAGTTGAACCCAGCAGCCCAAATTCCTCTGCATCCCAGCTGGCAAAAATGATAGTTCTCCTAGGTCTCCAGCCTGAAATCATGTTAGTATACTTCATCAGCTATGGCCACTTACAGCTACAGGAATAATAAGCAAGTCTCTTTCAATTGCCAGAGAATTGTTAGTTACCTCCATTCACCAGTTTCCCAAAACTTTGTGCAATCTCTTGCAAAACTGCTGTCCCAGTGGTAGGGTCAATCCCTCCAAACACCCAGGAGTCACGGTGACCTCCGAGAATGACATACCTGTCTAGACAAGAATGTGTTCCAGAGAGCTTCAACTAGTACACATTACAAGCATTCATCATTTGTGTATCTAGTTAAACTTTCTCCTGCATGAGTTTCCTCCACAAAAGACAACCAAATTGTAAAGTGAAATCTTTTAGAATGGTAACATCCTTCCCCTGAATTTCAGTTTCAAATCACCCAAAAAAGTATGTTATTTACAGAATTTCATCTTTTTAAAACATTTTTAAAAGAAAATGTTTTTAAATTTTTAATGACTCACCAGGCTCTGTAGACCCTCTGATAGTTCCAATTACATTGTAAATTCTTGTGATTTTGTTAATGTTATTAACATGCATTCTAACTTTCCTAGAATTTTGAAAACAATAAATTAGTTCATATGGAGCATTGTATTTAGTTTTATTTAACATTTCATTGAAAAATCCCCAAACTACAGAAAACTGTTCAATAGGACATTGAATGCATATCTCTGCCACCTCGATTATTGGATTATATGAAACATTTACAAAGCATTATTACAATTTTTTTCCTATGGATTTAGGCATCTACCTGAAACCCAACTTTTAAAGACAATATTTTATATTTTTCTTCAAGCTGTATTACTAATTTTTACTTCTAACTCAAAATATTCTATCAAATGCCTTAAGGTTTATTTTTAACTTTATACTCTTACTATACAGGAGTGACAGTGTGCTGTGCAATAACTAAAAAGATAAATATATTGTTTGAACATATATTTGTGTAAATCCCTGCAAAGATCAGTGTTGTTTAAGTCAATAATAAATCATATATGTGATGGTGTACCTAATATTACAAAGAAACTGAAAGCACTATTGACACTGGGGCTACTATGATGTCATAATATAGTGAATTACTTATATATTTGTCATTATACTAATATAAACATTGTATTGACAGTCATTAATGTAGAACAATGCAGTTATGTACAATGCACTGTGTACTTTCATTGTTAACTTCAAGTGTATTCCTACTTACTAGGAGTTTCCTCATCTCAGGTGCTGTGACACACCCAGGATCACAGGTAAGGCCACATCTGCCACAACAGCCAGCATAACTGGGACCCCCTGGGTCCCAGGATGCAGAAACCCCTGCCCAGCCAGAAGCAAAGGTTCCTCCTGATTTGTATGTTTTCACCAGTGCCCAGAGCAGACCCAGGGCACTGTCTCCACACCCACTCCTACAACACTCAGAGGATGATTGACTCCCAGGTGCTCTGACACACCCAGGATCACAATTGAGGCCACAACATCTGCCCCATCACCAGGTATAACTGGAACTCCCGGGATTCAGGGATGCAGGAGCCCTTTTCCATCCAGAGGCCTGCGTTCCTTCTGGTTTGAACTTGTGCCCAGAGCAGACCAGGGTGCTAGCTTCTCACCCACTCTGATAACACCCAAAAACAGCTCAACTCCTAGGTGCTCTGACAAAACAGGATCTCAGATGTTCAGACACACCAGGATCTCAGGATCCCAGAAGCAGCTTGACTGCCAGGAGCTCTGTCACACCCAGAATCTCAGGATCACAGGATCACAGAATCACAGGATCACAGAGATAGCTGGACTCTGAGGACTCTGATTCTGACACAACCAGGCTCACAGCAGGGACAGTTTCTAGTCAGAGACAGCAAGGGCAGTTAGCAATAGAGATAACCAGATGGCAAGAGGCAAGTGCAAGACCATAAGCAAGAGAAACCAATGTTACTTGATAACATCAGAACCCTGTTTTCCCAACACACCAAGCCCTGGAAACCCCAACACACCTGAAAAGCAAGATTCCGATCTAAAATTCCATTTCATGAATATGATAGAGGAAGTTTAGAAGTACATAAATAACACCCGTAAAGAAATACAGGAGAACATGAATAAAGGAGTATAGAAGCCCTTATAGAGGAAAGAAATAAACCTCTTAAAGAAATACAGGAAAGCACAACCAAACAGATGAAGGAATTGAACAGAACTGTCTAGGATCTAAAAAAATGGGAATAGAAACATTAAAGAATGCACAAGAGGAGACAACTCTGGAGATGGAAAACCTGGGAAAGAGATCAGGAGTCACAAATGTAAGTGTCAGATTAGAAGAGATAGAAGAGAAAATCTCAGGCATAGAATATACCCTAGAAGACATTGACACAACAGTCAAAGAAAATACAAAACTCAAAAAGCTCCTAACTCAAAACATTCAAGAAATCCAAGACATAATGAAAAAACTGAACCTAAGAATAATAGGTATAGATGAGAGTGAAGATTCCCATCTCAAAGGGTCAGCAAATATCGTCAACAAAATGATAGAAGAAAATTTCCCTAACCTAAAGAAAAAATATTCTAATTTACCAGCCTGAGTAGTCATAGACGTTGTAAATAGGTAGCCTTGGCGGATAGTACCAACTTAGATAAGGACAAGTGAATCATAGGCAGAGTCTTAGTGACCTATCCCCTGAACCTTCAACCAGCCGATACCCTGTTCTGAAAAATATCTGTACTCCCCCTGAACAATTACGCTCTGGTGTCATCCCCTCCCCCACATCCTTCCTTTTTTTGTGTGTTTATAACCCCTGTGTGAATAAGTAAAAATTACGATTTGGTTTAATTAAAAAAAAAAAATTCCCCAAGTGAGAAACATAAAGCATGGCTTTGCACAAGGGGGGGGGGAGAAAAATACTCCCATAAACATACAAGAGGCCTACAGAACACCAAATGTATGAGACCAGAAAAGAAATTCCTCCCATCACATAGTAATTAAAACATCAAATGCACAAAACAAGGAAAGAATATTGAGAGCAGTAAAGAAAAAAGGTTAAGTAATATATAAACAGAGACCTAGCAGAATTACACCAGACTTCTCAACAGAGACTTTAAAAACCAGAAGATCTTGGGCAGATGCCATACAGACCCTAAGGGAACAAAAATGCCAGCCCAGGCTACTATATCCAGCAAAACTCTCAATTACCATAATGGGAGAAAGCAAAATATTCCATGACAAATCCAAATTTAAACAATATCTTTCCACCAATCCAGCCGTACAGAGGATAATAGAAGGAAAACTTCAACACAAGGAGGGTAACTACACTGAAGAAAAAGCAAGAAACTAATCTCACAACAAACTCAAACGAAGAGAACCACACAAGCATAGTTCCATCTCTAACAACAAAAATAACAGGAAGCAACAATCATTGGTCCTTAATATATCTGAATATCAATTGACTCAATTCCTCAATAAAAAGACATAGACTAACAAGCTGGATACATAAACAGGACCCAGCACTTTGCTGCATACAAGAAACACACCTCAGTGACAACAACAGACATTACCTCAAAATAAAAGGTTAGAAAAAAAATTCAAGGTAAATGGTCCTAAGAAACAAGCTGGAGTAGCAATTCTAGTATCCAATAAAATAGACTTTCAACAAAAAGATATCAAAAAAGATGGGAAAGTACACTACGTACTCATCAAAGAAAAAATACATTAAGAGAAACTCTCAATTCTGAACATCCATGCTCCAAATGCAAGGGCACCCACATTTGTCTGTTTCTTTTTATAGCTCAAAGCACATATTGAACCTCACACAATAACTGTAGGGCAACAGCCCACTCTCGCCTGTGGAAACAGAACCTAAACAGAGACAAAGTGAAACTAACAGACATTATGAACCAAATGGACTTAACAAATATATACAGAACATTTCATCCTAAAACAAAAGAATATACCTTTTTCTCAGCACCTCATGTTACCTTCTCCAAAATTTACCATATAACAGGACACAAAACAAGCCTCAACCAATATAAGAAGATTGAAATAATCCCAGGCACCCTATCAGATCACAACGGACTAAGGCTGGTCTTCAACAACAACAAAAACAACAGGAGGCACACATACACATGGAAGTTGAACAACTATCTACTCAATGATAACTTCATCAGGGAAAAAATACAAAAAGAAATTAAAGACTTTTTAGAATTTAACGAAAATGAAGGCAGAATATACCCAAATTTATGAGACAATGAAAACAGTGCTAAGAGGAAAACTCATAGCTCTGAGTGCTTTCATAAAGAAATTGGAGATAGTATACACTAGCAGCTTAACAGCACATCTCAGTGCTCTAGAACAAAAAGAAGCAAAGACACCCAGGAAGAGTAGATGGAAAGAAATAATTAAACTCGGAGCTGAAATCAACGAAGCAGAAACAAAGAGAAGAATACAAAGAATCAGCAAAATCGGGAGAAAATCAACAAGACAGATAAAACCTTTGCCAGACTAACCAGAGGACACAGAGAAAAGTATCCAAATTAACAAAATCAGAAATGAAAATGGAGACATAACCACAGAAACTAAAGCAGTTCAAAAAGTTATCAGATTCTACTACAACAGCCTATACTCAACAAAACTGAAAAATCTAGATGAGATGGATGATTTTCTAGACAGATACCAGGTATCAGTTAAATCAGGATCAGATAAACCATCTAAACAATCCCTTAACCTCTAAGGAAATAGAAGAACTCATTAAAAGTCTCCCAACAAAAATATCCCCAGGACCAAATGGTTTTAGAGCAGAATTCTATCAGAGATTCAAAGACCTAACAACAATACTTCTCAAACCATTCCACAAAGTAGAAACAGAAGGAACACTACCCTTCTGTTTTATGACTACTGTAAACTCAGGGCTATATTTTATGAAGCCCCAATTACACTGATACATAAATCACACAAAGAACAAAGAAAGAAAGAATGAGAACTTGAGACCAATTTCAATCATGAATATTAATGCAAAAATAATCAATAAAATTCTTCCAAATCGAAATCCAATAACACATCCAAATGATCATTCACCATGAGCAAATAGGCTTCATTCCAGCAATGCAGGGATAGACCAATATATAGAAATACGTCAACATAATCCACCATATTAAAAAACTCAAAGAAAAAAAATACACTAACATCTCATTAGTTGTTGAAAGACTCTTTGACAAAATACAACACCCTTTCATGTTAAATAAAAGTATTAGAGAGATCAGAAATTCAAGGTCCATACTTAAATATAATATAACAATATACAGCAAACCAATAGCCAACAACAAACTAAATATACAGAAAATTGAAGCAATCCCACTAAAAACAGAGATAAGATAAAGCTGCCCACTCTCTCCCTAACTATTCAATATAGTACTTGAAGTTCTAGCCAGAGCAATTAGGCAAAAAAAGGAGATCAAAGATCAAAGGGATACAAATTGGAAAGGAGGAATTAAGATATCACTATTGGTAGAAAAATATATATATATATACCTTAAACCTTCCTTTGAACCAATTTTAACACCAACTCCTGGCTCTTTTATTAAATAATGATTCTATGAGTCTGATGAAATACAGAATAAATTCTCATTTCATACCTGTCTAACTATGAGTCTAATAAAATACAGAATAAATTCTCATTTCATACCTGTCTAACAGTTATCTCTTTAAATTATCTTTTATCAACTTTGGAAGTTCATCTGTATGTGTAGCTTCATCTTGAAGAAGCAGTATAGGTAATTAAAAATCCATATTTTATGTATCTGTATGTCTAACTTAAATTTTGTTTTGATGATTTTGTGTTCAATTGTATTTTCATTTTTCTTAGGAAAGATAAAAAATTATTCTTCATTAATGTAAGCAACATGAGGGAAGTACTGCTTTTATGTCTTGTTATTTGATTGTATTTCTAAATGGACAAATAAATTATGAAGTCTCTGTGAGGTGAAAGAAAAGAAAGACTTTATAAGGGTTTTGTTGTTGTTTCCATCCAGTTTTAATTCAAATAATAATGATCAACAAGAACAGTGTTGGATAACCAGAGTTTAGACTTGGTATTTCTTATGCTTTTCTGTTTATTCTTTTATATGTATAATATGAATTATATATATCATAATAGAGAGTGTGTGTGTGTGTGTGTGTGTGTGTGTGTAGGGGCCAAGGAAAACAGAAGAGAAAAGAGGGAGTTGAATCTTCTAAAGCTCGAGTTACAGCCGTCTGTGTGCCAACACGAGTACTGGGAACTAAACAGCAGCCCTCTATAAGAGCTGCAAGAGCTCTAATTGACACGTGATCTCTCCAGACCCCTGAGTAAACTCAGGGATTATGGATGGATTTCATCCATGTCTCTGTTTCTTTATTTAAATTTTTTGAAAGTCTTTATTTTGTACAACTATGTTGTCTTTCTCCTGCTCTATAGAATAGTAAACTTTAATTTATAACTGTTCTGATTGGATTATGATATCTAGTCTCTAAGTCATTCAAATTCTAAATTCCTATAAAAGTAAGAAAACTGAACTTTCACTTTAAATTTTCTGAAATAAACCAATCTGAACAATAAAAATATATTATGAGCATCAAAGTTCACATAGTCAAGTAAATTTTTAGCAAGCAAGACTGACTGATCAATGGGGGTTTAATAAAGTAAATAGCTATATCTTTTCTGACTTATTAGCATTAACATTTTCATTTCCCAAATCTTTCAGGTAAATCAAACTTTGTTCCATGGCCTGTGTTTCCACAACTATACTCTCTGTCTGCTTTTACTCAGCCCACCAGGTATATATGTTCACTCTTCTACAACATTCCCATGTTAAAACAATTCAAATTATAGCTACACGGTGGTGGATAACTTTAAGCTTAGCACTTGGGAGGCAGATACAGAAAGATCTAGGAGATCAAGGTCAACCTAGTCTACAGAACAAGTTCTAGGATTTCCAGGATTACACAGAGTCTTTCAACTCTCTCTTTTAAAAAAAAAAAGGAAAAGAAAAAATAAAAAAGAATAATTACAATGATACATCTATTGAGAATTGTTGTATCAGATGGTTTCCTCGTTTTAACTTATTTATGCCATGAGGTAAAGGATAAACAATAAATAATTCTTTTCCCTGTGCTCCTTAACTGTCTCTGAATTTACCCATCATAAAAGTTACTAGCTAAATTTATTTAAACATTAAGTAAAAAATGGAAGTAAAAATAAACACTGCTCAAGATGTTGTAAGACTAAACTCATAGAAATATTTCATCTCATATTACGATGTCGTCGCTGAAGAATTCAGTAGTTCGTTCTGTAAGTCCTTTTGTGTTGATAAAAAAATGATCTGTTGCTCACTAGTGACAAGGAAAAAAGAGGAAGGCATACTTTATCTGGCAGAACATTATCTTGACCTTTTTCTGTTAAAATAAAACTTTCTGGGCTACGAAAGTCACAAAATTACCTGGAATATTCACTTCCTGTAAAGCCAGGCCCGATATTGTAACTAACATTTAGACTTCCCTTCCAGCTTTTGTCTGGTGGAGCAGTTCCTCCCAAGTTGCTGTCAAAGCGCATGAAACAACAAAAAGATTGATTTTGAAGAAATAATGAGATTGGTAGTGATAATGTGTATGTAGAAACTCTTTACAAAAAGATTACTCATGGAGATTTCATTCTGGAAAGAGTCATAGCCTAGACAAATAAGGAATGGGCAATATGTTAGTTACAAAGCTGAAGAGGAAAATCTAAAATCCGAAGTGTAGAAGGGTAGCAATAGCCTTGTGACACTTGATATACCTTGAGAAGCCAAGAGTTGAAGACATCCAAAAGAAGGAACCATCATGATTATGATAAGAAGCGCTAAATTTTTAAAGAAACTGCTGACTACATAGAAAGCACCTGTTAAAAATAATAAAGTTATTCAGGTAGAGTATTTAGGAAATGAACGTTAGTAAATAGGCAGTGAAATATTGATAACACTACCAGCAAATATTAAGTCAATGCTTACTATAGTGTAGACACTTCCCTCTACTGTGATTCAGGGTGAGAGCACCATTCTCATTTTACAGGTAAAAATATGAAATCAGACCATGATAAAGTAACTCGTACAAGATCACACATTTACTGACCAGCATGATTATGTATTTAAGCCATAGAAAACAACTAATGAACATCTAAGGACATTACAGTATTCAATGGTTTTCTTTTTTTTTATTTTTTTTTATTTTTATTTATTTATGTATTTATTTTTTGAGCATGAAATGCTTTTTTATAGCATGTTTTACAAGGGGAGGGGGTAAGAGGGGCCAGGTGGTGGAAAAGTACAAAATCTTCTTGGCCTGTCAAACAGTTAAAACAGTGATTTTAATCATCAGACAGAATTTCATATTTGAGAATAGCATCTGAGCAGAGAATTTATTATTATTATTTTTCTTATTAGTTAAACTGTTCTTCTCATGAAAATAGTGTTTCTACTTCAAGAGTTATTTTTATAGTTACTTTTAACATAACTGACTTGTAGAGCAGACATAGACATCTTAGCACAAGATACATTCATACTCAGCTAAAAGACTATACCGTAATAGTCTCTCTGCATCATTATATCCAATTGGATGTACAGCTATGTTTGGAATCCCCACTCCTTCTTCAACAGGAAGTCTGAAGGTGTATTCTGCAAAAAATCAAGAATATAAGTGAAAACTATTAGAGGATATGAGTGAGGGCAAGCGTATGCAACAAATTCTTGTATTATTGTTATAGATTTCTTATATGTGTAAAAGTAAAATTAAAGGTTGCCAAAAAGTCAAACTTGTATTTAAACTGGCCTAGTTGAGTCAACAGTGAAAAAAGAAGACATTTACATTTTAAAGTAAAATAAAATCATGGAGATTACAGACTTTTAAACTAAACACTTTAAATAATTATCTTAAACTTTCTAAGATTATTTTATTTCCTCAAAAGACATTGTGAATTATTATTATAGAAACTTCAGTAAACTGTATGCTTGGAAAAATGTGTCCATATATAACAGGAGAAAAATATTGTGAGATTTTTGAGAAATAATTACATTTATCCAAATTATAAGACAATAGTTTCTTCAGAGGAAGATTAGGAGATGCTATCAGAGTGATCCCTTTAGGCCGAGTTATCAAGGAAGATAGACTAACAAGGAAACCTTCATTCTCATATCTGAAAAAATTTAAAATTAACAAGACATGTAAAACAACAGTTCTAAGAGTTTTTCTTATTATTTAGCTATTTTTATAGCTGTTTCTTGAAACATAAAGCATAACAGTGTAATTATACAAAGAAATCAGAAAGTATATATTATCTTAATTGAGCAGATACTCAGAATAGCACATCTCAATGCAGAATTTACTGTTTGATTAGATGTATGGCAGGGGGACAGGACAACACATATTCAAAAGACAACATTGTGGACAATAAAACATGTTCCATTAAATGTAAAAATTATACAAAGTACATTGCTTGACTATAGTGGAATTAGAAATTAACATTGAAAAACCACCTCCAAAATTCTTTGAGTAGTTAAAAAAACAAAAATATTTGATTCCCTGCTAACTGACAAAAAACCAGGGAGGCTGCCTGTGGACCTCTTATCTCCCTGTTCTCATAGTTCCAAACCCATAATCTCATCCCCAGCTCTATAACAGAACACCATTGGCAGGCCCCTGCAATTTACACCCATCTCCTGTGGATCCCACAGATCTTCCCCTCTTCTAACCTTCCTCTGACCCATTCATTACTTTGTCTCAGATTCCAATCCCAATAGATATTCCTGCTAACCCAAGGGCCTCTCCTTCCAGGACAACAAGAAGGCTTAAGGGAGACCTACACCTATCCAGAAATCTACTTCCCACCCCAGTCCATCATTCCTAGCCTTGTAGCTGGAAATCTATTGCAGTCTCCCTTTCTTCTGACTCCAGTCCAATGGAGCAAAAATATCCAACCCTAACACTCCTTCCCCCAACTCACCCCCTTATCCCAGTATCCAATACCAGCAGGCATTCACTGAGAACACACCAGACTAGCAGAATAAGGAAGGAGTCACCAACTGTAGCAGATAAGCCCAAGCTAACCCACACCAGCTTTGCCTCCCATAAAACTAGATGGGCTCCCTGCAGACTTTCTTTTCTTTCTCTATTCCCCTATATCCAACCCATAGTCTCAATTGCAGATCTGCAACAGAACATCTTTGGAAATACTACACATCCCCTTGCTCCCATCTCCTGTGGATCCCACAGATCTTCCCCCTTCTAACCTTGCTCCCCACACTGGCTCTTTTCCAATCATGAGCTCTAGCAGGCTCCACCTGCTAACCCACAAGGCAATACTCTCTTAAAAAAAAAAAAAAAAAAAAAAAACCCAAGTAGGCTTCTTTCAGACTTTCTCTCTGAATTCCTCAAGATCCAATACTCCAGTCTCATCCCCAGATGTGCAGCACAACACCCATAGCAGCCTTCCCTACTGCCACAGCCCCTTGCTAACATCTGTGAATCCTAACAGATGGTCCCTTTCTAACCTCTCTCCATGACTTGTTTTTTTGTTCCAGCCCCCAAATCCAGCAGGTACTCCATGCTAACCCACAAGTCGTGCTTGCCAGAAAACCAGGTAGGCTGCCTGCATACCTTCTCTCCTCTCTCTAGTTCCCCTGTTCCAGTCCCCAAATTTTTTTTTGTAATATTTGTAACACTTTATTAAGAAGAAATCTATGTTAGCACTGTTATATAAACAATGGCAGGGATTGTACAGACAGAAATATACATTGTCCTTTGTATAATGTAGAGGGAAAAGTTATGGATACTGGGTATATAGAATCCTTTTTAGATATAAAATATTCTTTAGGCTTTCTTTAGGAATGTGGAAAGACCAGTCACCATTACTGGAACTGGCCGACCTGCAAAGAGAAAGGAAAGAATGCAATTTAGTCAGGTGGAACCAAGCTGAGAACCATAGTGACAGGGCAAGGCTGAAGTGACAGGGCAAGGCGGAAGTGACAGGGCAGGACTACATTCTTGAGAAAGATAAGTGTACAGAGAGTTTTCATCTGATCCTGACTCATGTAGGTTGGGTTCCTTTGGAATGTTCCACTATTTTTATGTTATACCACCCTAGCAACCCCCTCACCCCCTCCTCATTTCCTTGGTTTGTGGTTTTTCCCTTTAAAAACACCCCTCAAACTGGCAGTCGGGGTCAATTCAGCTCCTGCGTGGGCATGCGAATTGACCGGCAGCTAGTTGTCACGCCCTAATAAATAACCTCGCAATTGCTCCGGTATATGGTGTCTCGAGTAGATTACTGGGTGGTCGCGACTTTCTGAGACTTGAGAGAGGGTCTCCCCTCTGCGGAGGTCTTCAATAATTAATATATACTAGTTAAGGAGAGTTTAATCCTTATTAAGCCAACATTTTTTGCATACACCACCTTCTCTTTATCTTTCTGTGTCTTTATCATTTGTTTGCCAGTCCACAAATTTTATCCCCAGCTCTACATCAGAAAACTCTGGCAGTCTCTCCAACCTGTTTACTGATCTCCTATGGATCTCAAAGTTCTTCTACATTTTAACATTCCTCCTCCATAGTTTCATAATCTCAGCTCCAGTCCCAACAGGCATGCTCTGCTAACCCAATGGGCTCTCATTCCAGGACAATGAGTAGGGGAAAAGCAGATCCACTCTCATTCCAAATGTGCCTGCTTCCCAGTTTCATCCTAAGATATGTAACAGAAAATCTACTGAGGTCTCTCTTTCCTCTCTGTTCCCATCCCCAAGGGATCATAAAGACTTTCTTTCCCCCAACTAATCCCAGTATGATCCCTCAACACCAGCTGGCATTTCCTGTGAACACATCCTATGATCAGGTCAGAAAAACAGATAACACACAGCAACCACACTTTCTGAAGCTACAAGGAGGAAACAGAAATCAACAAACAAAACACCCATCCAACAAAGATCAATCCGGAAATCAGCACCTAGACCTATAATCATTCCAAACACAGATGCCTTGATATCTGCCAGCATAAAGACACAATAACAGCCAGGGCAATGTCCCCAGTGGAGCTCAGCTATTCTACCACAGCAGTCCTTGAATATTCCAACATAGCTGAAGCACAAGAAAAAAACCATGAAATCAATTTTTAAATTGGTTGAAGAAGATACAGATGATCTAAAGATGATAGAAGTTCTTAAAGAGGAAAGTAATACATTCCTTAAAGAAATCCAGGAAAACATAGTTGAAGGAAGTGAATAAAACTGTTCAAGATCTGAAAATGAAGTAGATTCTATAAAGGAAACAAACTGAGGGAATCCAGGAAATAAAAATTAAGGAATTTGAACTAGAACTATAGAGAATAGCATCACTAATAGAATACAAGAGATGGAAGAGGAAATCTCCGGCATTGAAGAAACCATAGAAGAAATGGACGCATCAGTCAAAAAAAAAAAAAAAACAAAACAAAAAAAACCAAACAAACAAAAAAAAAACCCTGTAAATCTAAAAAATTCTTAACACAAAATATCCAGGACATCATCCTGGACACTATGAAAAAACCAAACCTAAGAATAATAGGAATATAGGAAAAAGAATCCCAACTCAAAGATAAAGAAAATATTTTCAAGAAAATCATAGAAAAAAAGTTTTCTAATCTAAATAAGGAAATACCTATAAAGGAACAAGAGGCACACAGAACACCAAATAGATTGGCTGAGAAAAACAAAACAAAACAAACACATATCTCACCACATAATAATCAAGACAAGAAACCTACAGAACAAAGAAAGTATATTAAAAGTGGCAAGGAAAAAGGGCCAAGTAACATATAAAGGCAGGTCTACTAGAATTACATCTGACTTTTCAATGGAGACACTAAGGCCAGAGTCAGAGACTGGAATGATGTACTACAGACATTGGGAGATCACAGATGCCAGCCTAGACTACTATACTCAGCAAAATCTTCAATCACCAATCTCCGATCAATGAACAAAATAAAATATTTCATGAAAAAGTCAAATTTAAACATCTTTCCACAAATCCAGTGGTGCAGAAGGTAGTTGAAGAAAAAAATTTCAAATCAAGGAGGTTAACTACACACAGGAAATGTCGGGAGCCAAACCCAGGAAACTACCTGCTGTTCTAAGAGAACCCAGGAAGTTACCTGCTGTTCTAGAAAGCCTGGTCAGTGCGAGGTTAAGAAAGGACGTTCACAGGTCTCAGGCCCCAGGAACTTAAAGAACATCTGGTATTTCCTGGGAGCGGGTTACGACAGTGAGATGGTCTAGGGCAATAAGGATGTGACAGTGGGATGGTCTAGGGTAATAAGCATTCAATAGTGGGATAGCCCTAAGCAATGACCCTCACCCAAACTTCCTGGTTTGCTGTGTCTTTATAACCTGCACCCGAAATTAAAGTTTCAGAGCTTGATCAGAACCCCAGACTTGCTCTCATTCCTTGTGTCTCTTGTCCCTTCATTCTTTCGAACCCTTCCCTAAGGTCTTGTCGAATCCCTGCGGGCTGGGGCAAGGAAATAAGTATATCTTACGCACAAAGCCAAAAGAAAGGAAGCACAAGTACCACCACTACCAAAAGCACCAACAACAAAATAACAGGATTTTACAATCAATGGTCATTGATATTTCTTAGTATCAATGGACTC